ACTAGATATTCATGCATTCAACCAGGTGTAGAAGTATTCCTGCAGTTGAACACCGAAGAGGGTTTTCTAATAATGATAACAGTAAAAGAGTGAAATCATACTTGAAATGAAGGGAGGGAATCAAATGTTGGAGTCATCAATGTTGAGGGTTCTTTTATTGAGTGGTCAAGAATGCTGGGACTTGTGTTTCTACGGCCATCGTGCGTGTCACTTCCATTTATCAAGAAGCCACTGTCATTGTCAATTACACCGTCAATGTTTTCTACAAAATGAACAATGGAAAATTACAACAATCAATTTTAACAATGCCATATTCTCTTACCTATTAAAGACAGAAACCTTACTGTTTTCCATATTGCACTTGTATCATGAAGGTCCAATAGAGCGGCGAAGTGTGATGTCATGTTACCACGGTAGCAAATTTCTGGAGTTAGCAATCTTTCTCATGTCAATTTTTTCATTTTTTTTCTGCTTTGTTTGCATGACCATGCTTTGTTGAACTCCAGAAATTTGGCTACCATGGCAATGTGATGTAACTACGTCTCCTCTCTATTTCATCGGGGCGAAACTTTCTCTAAATGGTCCAAAAGGAGTCTTTTGTTTTGGTGTTAAGCTTTTCAATTATCAACCCTTGCGTCGTTGATGAGAGGACGATGGAGGAGAGGGAGGGGTGCAATGATTGAAAGGCAGGCACAGTCTTGGACATCCTCGAGAAGGTGAGTTTGTGTCACTAATAGCAGGGTGCTACCACAAAAAAATTCCTTGAAAACATTTGCAATTCCATAATACAAGTGAAAGCACAAGAAATTTTAGACAAACCAAATGAACTTGAGTACGACAGCAAGACTGGACAACCAGCCATAAGAGCTAGACAAGTAAGAAATTAATACACTGCAAAACAACATTAAATCTAACAGAAAACCCAAGACGAAAAAACTAGATTTTAGTTGCCTCTATAACTACAATTGATCTTCTCCCATGTAATTCTTCATTCTGGATTTCTCAGTTATGATTTTGGTATATTCATTACATCAATTAGGCACTTTATATTACTAATGGGTAGATGTTTAACTGAACTAAACTCCTGTCGCTGGAACTCACTATTACGGACAATTGACCACAGATTTCCCCCATGCCTCCCTTTTTTCTGGCATCGAGACCATCTCTATTTAAAATTCTGCACAAAAGTTTTTCTCTAAGGTAAACACACGTTTTTTTTCCTCGCAAAATTGAGCTAAACATACCTAATGACTCTGTTGAAGAATTGAGAACAAGAGGATCCTGTTGAGAATACAGCTCCATGGGTTTTGTCAGGTAAATAGAGGGCTGGGATATGAAATGTAAAGATAACAAACAATTAAAAATTCAAGTGGTAATAATGGCGATGAAGTTAGATTGTTAATGGGAATGATATTGAGAAGATATGATGATCATTGGTATTAGTTTGAAGAGGATACAGATGATGAATATTTTGAAAGGAACAGGACGATGATGTTGACGATGAAGATGTTAAGAGGAAGAGGAAGATACTGATGATGATTACAAAAGGTGCTGATGCGGAAGGGGACAATGCTGAGACAATGGAAGATGACGAGGATGATGATGGTGATAATGAGGATGGGGACCCTGAAAAGAATGGCCGTAATAATTATGCACAAGAGAAAGAAAATGATTATAACGATGCAACAGAGGAAGATGATGATAACAAGGAATTGCAAGATAATGATGATGATGATGATGATGAAGATGCATAAGATGAAGAGGGTGATGACGAAGTTATTGAAGATGAGGATGTTAAAGAGGAAGACAATGATAATGAGAAAGTGGAAGATGATATTATTGTGATCGAGAGAGTGATCATGAGGACCCTGAGGTTTTTGGAGAGGATGGGAATGATAATAAGGAAGTGGAAGATGAAGAGGAAGAGGATCCTAAATAGGATGGTGGTGATAATAAAGATGCTACAGAGGAAGAGGATGATGATTTTTTTGGAGAGGATGGGGATGATACTAAGGAAGTGGAAGATGACGAGGATGATAATGGTGATGATGAGGAAAAGGATCCTAAAGAGGATGGTGGTGATGATGAAGATGTTACAGAAGAAGAAGAAGACGACAATGATGTTTTCAAGAGGAAGGCGATGAAGATGAGAAAGGGGATGATGATAAGGATGATGATGATGTTAGTCTGGAAAAGGAGCCAAAAATAATGCTAATTAGGAAGAGGATGATGATGAAGATTTTCAAGAGGACAAGGATGGTAATTCGGAAGTGGAAGATGATAAGGATGGTGATGGTAATGTTGAAGGGAATCATAAATAGAATGATGGTGATGAAGATAAGGATGGTGAAGAAGGTGCTAATATGAAGATGCTGTAGGGGAAAATGGTGAGAATAAGTGGAAAGGAAAAGAAGGGTGACAAAAATGAAGATACTGAAGAGAAGATAAGCCATTCGTCTTCTTAGTTAGCCTCGCTATCGCTCAGTCAATACATCAAGGCCTTGGCCTGAGATTTCCTGGTAATGACCTAACTCTCAGTTAATAAGTGGTATACAATAAAAAAAAGTGTGAAGAAAAGAGATGACGAGGAAAATGATGATAAAAGAATGAAGATGATGAAGAAGAACAGGCCGGATGATGTTGGCAGTGTTGAAAAAGGAAAAAAAGACAAAAATGACAAAGATGCGTCGTTCAATCCCCACATCATTAACATTATGTTGGTCGAGTCTGTTGTTGATTCTCTCCATTTCTCTGAGATGTTTTTCTCCAGGTACTCAGGTTTTCCCCTCACCTCAAAAACCAACATTTCCAAATTCCAATTCGACCAAGAACAGTAGACGAAGAACCACTTTGAGGATGAGCTACCTATAAAGCATCACTTTTATATTTTATTTAGAAGGCTATTCAGGTTATTGCTACAGTGTAGAGGGACTGGTCATTGTTAAATTCCTTACCGATAGACTATTTATATGGTTCTGTGATGAACCAGAATGGCTGTCAGACTTTACAGAGTGCGATGTACTGTCTAAAAGAGGAAAGAAAACAGAAAGACAGAAACAATGAATAGCACCAGAATGAATGTTGTCTGGTAGAATTTAAAATCCAAAGTGATGGAAAATAAGGATGAGCACTTCCAGACATGGATATATGTCAAAAAATGAAGAGTCCCTTTCACCTTAGACTTGTAAATTAAAAATATTGAAAGACTTAATGGGTGAGCTTTACTTATAACAAGTGAAAGGAAAAAATATTAAAATTATCTGATACTTATAACTAGAGCTATACAATAATGTCCAGCCTTACTCAGGGGATCAGTTACATGTATGTTGCCACTCAAAATAATGGTTCAAAACGGTCTCCAAGACTGGATTTATTATAACCCAGGACTCCGACATATAATTACTTTATCAGGTATACAGTAAACACCCGCATATAAGGATACATGATTTCGGGGTTCAGGCTTATCAAGTTCTTAGTCTATTTATCAGGCGCTTAGTGAGAAATCAGCCTGAAGATGTTCTTTATATTATGTTTTTAAACTTTGTTTCAGAAATATTACACATAATATTTAGCCAGAGGTTTAGTAAGGACATTTTATTATAAATAAATAAGTATGCAAGTAAACAAATCAGTAAATCAATAAATAACATAAAAATTTGTCAGGTAGTAAACTAGTTAACATTAACAAGTAGAAATGTAACATTAGTTTCAACATTTTTAAATATTTATAACAGTCATGCTAACTCAACTGGGGCCACCACTGCCTTGTCAGCCAATCAAACTTGCTTTCGTTAGTAAAGACTCACACTGTAGGATTGCATTTCAAATTACAGCTGTAGGAGTAAAAATGGGCTTCATACTCTTTCGAGTTCTTCAAATTCCATGACCTTCCATGACCTTGTTAGCTTTTCCAAGTTAGCTGTCATTTTCAAAAATCTTAAAAACTTCCCTTGTTTTAGGGTATTTTTGGATCTTAAACAGTTCAATGGGTACGAACTCTGATGTCCACCAAAATGCGTGCCATTTGCTCTGTTTAATTACTCCTCTTTATCTTACATTGTCCTTGCCTTGTCATCTTCACTAACTGATCTGTCAAACACAGATTTAATTTTCCATGACTTTCAAGGGACGACGACTAAATTCCATGACTTTCCAGGCGTGGAAAATGAAATGCTTAGATTCCATGAGCTTCCAGGCTTTACATTGACCTGTACAAACCCGGACAAATGTGATAAGCCAATCCAAAACTCTAGCAAGGGTGGCCCCGGTTGAGTTGGCATCATTGTAGTTCCCTAGACCAGTTACTAATGCCCTACAGTACCCCTGCACTTGCTCAAATGGTCCTCAACTGTGATGCAAGCTATAAACTTAAGTCAACACAAGAAACTACATTCTGTACATAGTTGCTACGTATTTCAAGTCTCCAGGTCTGATAATTCTCCAAACCTTGAGGGGAAATCTCCTGAACCATCTACTGTAATCAAACAGCCTGTTTTGTAATCAAACAACCTCATTAAAAACTTGATCTCCATTTTGTTTCAGCTCAGTCTATGCCTCCCCAGTCCTCTGAGTAATTAAGACTCGTCTGTCCTTTGCTGAAAGTTTGTCATGCCATTTTATCAAGATTGTCCTCTTTCTCCAACCAACTGTCCGTAGCAGCAGCTATCTTCAATTTCATCATTTGCCCACATCCTACATCTATGTGTTGAATTTTGTCTGTGTGGTTTTCAGGTAGCATATATAAGGTAGCATTAATTTCGTTCCTACATTCTTCATGGAACTCTTTAGTCTGCTGGAAAGTTACATTGCTTTCTTATTCCTACACCCTCTCCCCTATTATATATGGACATGTTTTATTTATCAGGCTGAACTGGTTCTTATATATAATTATGATGCTTTACGGGCCAAATTTCAGCCTGATGTTCTTAATCCATTTGTTCTTATATGCTGGTATTTAGGGTATTCCAGAAATAGTGCAAACCCTATACATGCCTCGTACACTAACCTGGACTAGCAGGACTGTCACTCAAAAGGACTTTATTCCCCTGTCTACCTTCAGCTGAGGGGGGAATGGATTGTACATGATCTTCCATCTCAGATCTCTTTCTTTTCATTGATTGATGACTGTCAGTTTCAGCCTCATTAACAGACAGCTGTCTGTCAGATATTTGAGAGAAATGCCAGGTATTTTGGCTAAACAGTTCATCGAAATTCATTGTCAGTGGTTTACTCAAAGTCTGATCAATGTTACTTTGTACAGTGTTAACTTCCAAACCCTTGCCTTTGTGTTTATACTTTTCTTTCAGGGAACTATTTGCCATGCTGTTAATTGGAGACAAGTTCTTTTTTGATGCTATGCAAGGCTCACTAGCAGTACTATTTTTCAACTGTGATGAATCAGGATTCACGTTTGTGTTTCCAAGTTGATTACGCTGAGAAGTGGATTCCTTCCGTGTCAAAGGCCCTTGTTTAATTCTAGTGTAAATGTAATCCTCCTGACTTTCTCTAGTTTCATTTCCAGCACAAGGGGGTGCACTGTCTACATCATAGGAAATGCTACTTTCAAGTAATTTTTCTAGCTGTGATTTAGATAAAGAACAACCCAAATGTTTAGCAGCATGTCCAGGTAAAATACTCGGAAGTGCTTGTTCATACTCCTGACTGTTATCACTTGATGGAACAACAAAAATCTCTGGGGACCTCTTTTCTGAACAAGGTAGTGACCTTTCTTTGAGAATGGAGAACGATTCCTCACTACTTCCTTTTAGTTTGGACTGTTCACTTAAGGATGAATACTGATCTTCAGCTACTACACCCCTTAAAGGTGGAGTCACTTTTCCACTCATTTGGGAAGAAGAGACAACATCACTGCTTATCAAGGCACCAGCAATTTCCTCTTGCTCTGTAGCAAGGTCATTTCCTTTTCCTTTAACGTGATATTCTGGAAAATGATATTGACCTAGTCCTTGTAACATCCCAGCCTGGTTGCACCTTTTTGGCACATAACTTACAGGCAAGTATCCTTTGGATGATAGAATATTTTTACCTGCCATCTTAAGACAATTCCCATTTCTAACCTTCTCCTTGACTTGATTAGAAATGTCATCACCAAGAAATTCCCATGTTTCTAATCTTTTAACATCTGTTTCTTTAGTTGTTGGTTTTAGCACCCTCTGAGAAGAACTAGCCACCGATTGTTCTCCTCTTGTGGGAAAAGTACAAGAAATAACAGATTTTCGACAACTCTTCAGATAAGTGGCAGTATCATCAAATCTGAACACAGTCTCTTCTCTCTGGTTTTGTTTCTCTGGTGTAGATATACTTGAAAGGGCACCCTTAATTTCCTTGAACAGTGAAGAACTTTCTTGTCTCCTTGTTGAACTTTTTTGTAAGCTGCATGCAACTCTCGTCCAATCAGACGTCTCCTGTGATTTACCGCCAATTGTTTCTTCAACATTTTTTTCAATGCGGAAACCCTTATCTTTGGATGTAGTTTGGGATTGCGAAAAGTTCCTATTCTCAGTTGAAGACAAGGACCTTGGAATGATCATTTTTTCCTGAACTTGTAGTGACTGTCCACAATCTATAGCCATGGATGAAGCAGAAATTTGAGCTTGTCCTCTGCCACTTGATGGTGTGTCACCAAATGATGTCATTTCACTTTGCATATTGCAAGAAAGTGGTGGATGATAACTTGGTTGCCATTCTAAAAGAGGTTAAAAACAGAGTGTGGTAAAGTTGCAATATATATTATTAACAAAAGTCAGTCTGTTACCTGTATGATGTAAGAAAAAAAATTGTAATTTGTTTACCCACAGAGCACTTTTGAGTGTTTAAGAACTTGTTGAAACGTGTCTGTGCATTGCAGATCGAGTTGGAATTGGGAAGTGTTGTTTTTTGAGGAGAGGAGAAAACCGGAGTACCCGGAGAAAAACCCCTTGAAGTAAGGGAAAGAACTAACAACAAACACAACCCACATATGGCATTCACGCCAGGATTGGAACCAAGGCCACATTGATGGGAGGCGAGTGCTCTCACCACTGCGCCACCCTTGCTATCCCCATGAGATTCAATGCTTAACAATTTTTCTTTGAAATTGAGGTGAATATTGGCTGAATATTTACCAAGATTGAAAAGAATAATTGTTTTAGTATATACACACAAAGTGATCTCAACAAAATCAGAGAGGAAACCATTAAAAAGTACGATTTGATTGACGGACCAAATCACCTGGAAGTTTAAAAATAGATCTTTGCAGAATTTTCAAACATGGCATTTCACAAGTTTATCACTCCGCAAACAACAGCATAATGGCTTAAATGGAACCGTTAAAAGTTTGACTTGTTTCCTTACCCGAGAAGAAAAGAAGAGCTTTGTTGTTTTCTGTTGACTCACCAAGTTTATAGCCAAAAGGGTTTGTAGTGTCATTCTTTGCATGAAGTGCTGACAAAAATGGCGGCTCAGTTGCTCGAGGTAAGACATTGTCTTCCTTTAGCATTCTTTTTGCTATTTACTTAAAACGTAGAATTTCTGCAAACATTTGCTTTCAAATTGGTTTGTCATAAATAAATTTCGATTTTTCGGCCAAATTTTCTTGTTAGGAAACGCTGAGTTCTCGAAACGGCTTCTTCTACTTGAATGAATGGGAGTTGTAAACAATCCATTGAGCACATAATTCAGCTACAGTAAATGGAAAAACACCATTTTGAATCCTTTCAAGTCTTCCCTTGCTTTAAAAAAGGCAACCCTAGGATTTTGTCTACTTTTAAAAGATCGTCCTCTAAAAAAAATGGGAAAAACACCGAGCTCACACATTATCCACTCGCTAGGAGGTGAACATCGTTGAATAGTTCGAGATAGCGAACCAATCAGATTGCTTTTTGATTTAAAAATCACCAAGATCACTGAGTGTGTATATACTAATACAAAAAAAACTAAAATCAAAGATGATAAAGCAACTAGATTACTATAGGACTTCATTGATCAATATTGGAACTAAACTAAAGGTACATTTGAGGCCTTACAGGACTAGAGGTTGATAATTTTTTGATTTAATGGGAAATAGAATTAAATATTTAGGGCACGACCTCTAGTGAACAATATCCTGCTAAACCCAAAGACCGCCCCACATACGATTAGTGGTGGAGACTGCTAGCCAGCATTGTCTCGTGTTTAACCTTGCCTAAATTACATGATTTAGCCACATCAAAATTACTGCCAGAATTGCACCCAGACTTAAAGATCTAAAATTCAAGGTGTTTGATGCATACATTGTTATTACTACAAATAATAATATTATTTTTATTGTATTATTATTTCTTGTCTAGTCTGGTTAACACATAACGTAAAAAATGTTAGAGGCAAGCAGGTTTGCATTTAGTCCCGCCATAGCATGTCCTGCCTGAACTACCAGTAACTTTTTTTTTGCTTCAAATGCTCAGTTAAAGAAGGATAACCCAGTCTATTGGATGCCAAATTTTTGTTCATAAGGAAATAATTTACCTGGAATTGTAGCCAGTTTCTTTTCCATGTCTTCAGGTATAAAAACAGGTTCATGGTTTTCTAACAAGATTCTCTCAAGTTCTTTGATGCTAGAAAGCTTGTTGCCACCTTCTGCCTCTCTGGTATCAAAGCTTTTATCATAGAGCAGAGTCTTGAACTGTGATAATGTACATAGTTCATGCAATCTAGGTTGTAGTGGGGGATATTTTGAGCTGTCAATGACATCACTTCCAAACTGAGTGTTTCCTTCACCACCAGCAAACTTGAACAGATCTATCTTTATCACAAACTCAGCAGTGCTCTGAAAAAGGTCGAAGTACATTGTAGCGATTAGTGCAATGGATGTATTATTAACATGAAGGCCCACCGGTATAGGTTGTTATAGGCTTGCAGCTGTGTTGCTTACTTTGTTGTGTGTTGTTTACATATGAGGGTAATTTAAACTTAAGGCTCCTTCAGACCAAAACTTAAACATGTTTTTAAAGGCTGTTTAGTTAAACACAGTTTAAAATAATAATTGTGTCCTAAGCTGCTTACGGACTTAAGTTGTTCGCAAATTACAAAAAATGTTGAATTTCATTTGAATCCTGTGTGAAAACCTGTGTTCCAGATTCCATCTGTTTGTCATTTTTTAAAACCTGGTTAATTAAACGTGTTTAGAACTTTGCGAATGAGGCATTATTCTAAGTACAAGATGTGTCAGTTGTTACAAAGTAAATTCTGCAAGTTTTATTTGAAATAGGAAGAGTCTACTGAAAATTTAAGGAGAAGGAAGCAAAAATAAGAGCTTATTGAAAATGTGGAGCGCTTATCATGAGGTGCAGTCCCATTCGTGGCTAGGTAACTATATAGTATTGCGATAAGAACATTGAAAACTATTGATAATAAAAGCAATTATAACAATAAATTCACTTTTACCAAATCTTTTTCAGTTGTACATGTGGCTTCAAGGGAATACTTCTTAATAAAGATCAGGCCACCTTGAATGTCTGCCATTGAAAGGGTTGGGTTATCTCTGAAAGAGGAAAAACATACATGTACAGATGTACATGTACATTATACTGTCAAAACGTAAACCTGTCCTCACTCTTTACTTTCACTTGTCTTTTCAATGTGGTTAGTTTAGCATACGACATTAGTACACTACCTGTAGTTGGAAATAATATTATAACATAATGTTAATTACCACTGTGTAATCAGTAAGAGAGAATTTTTTATGGTAAAGAGAAAAATATCCTCATCAAAAATATTATTAGATCAGTCCTTGAATTTGGTACCACGTAATGCATTTGTTTCCATTAAAATTGCAAGGACGGTTATCCAAGGTTTGCAGTAGACTATTTATTATTTAAATTATAATTATTGGATAGTCATTTTCATGATGACTGACAACACCTAAAAGCTAACTAATTGCACCAGACATTCTCAACCACAGCTCTTACTAAGGTTTATAAGAAATGACTAAAGTAGTGCTTTAGATGATTTTGATCATTTATCAATATGATCAAACCTTGTTAATAAGCACACTGAGGGAACCATATTAATAGGGTGTCTGTATTAAGCAGCTTGAACTTAGAGAATATGTAAAGGCTTTCTTTCCCCAGGGACAAAGCAAATTGCCAGTAATAATGAGGTGTCCCTATCAAGCAGGTGTCCGTAAAGCAGGGCTTGACAGCTGTACATGTGAATTTAGTCAACATGTTTTATGATACAGCACATATAAATTATTAGTAAAATCCAGCTAGTGGTCTATTATTAATGCTGCATTCTGATTGGTTGAGCTACTACTAGGCTATATGTTATAGCCCACTAGTAGCGAAAAGCGCGGGCTTTTTGGCGGCAAAAAAGGATTAAAGTCTAGCTTTAACTAGCTAAAGTTTTTTTATTCTCGATATTTTTGACCAGCTAGTTGGATTTTACTAAAACAATTATTCCTAATTATTCCAAAGTTACCGTTTGAACTGGTCAACAGCAGCTTGGGAGAAAACAGCTTTTACAAAAAATTCCTTATCACTGATAAAGGCAATGGTGTAGTGAGATGTTTCGTCAAACTGAAAAGCAAAAGAAAACCAAACATGTACAATCACAATGTGCATGTCAAAATATAAACAGGTTAAAATTTTTCGGTTGAGTTTCAATTTCCTTTGTCTCCCTTCCTAAATATTCATAGATAGTATATGAAAAAGGAAACAACAGTTAAGAAACAACTTTGGTTTTAAATGTTAAACCTGATTGGGCTATTGCATCTTACAGTTGTAATTGAATACCGTAAAATTCAGAAAATAAGCCCCTCCAAATATAACTTGTAACGCAAAAAACCCTCCGTTAAATCGCCCCTCCAAATATAAGCCCCGTGGGGTATTGTACTTGGAAATTTCCGTCAAATACGAAGTAAAACAAAGAAAACGGTAAATTTCCTTCCAAGAAGAAGGCTAGCCCAATCGATTTTTAAATGCAAATTTCCCTCCGTACATAAGCCCCTCCGAACATAAGCCCCTCAAAAATGGCCTTTGAAAAACATAAGCCCCAGGGCTTATTTTCGGAAGTTACAGTATCTGCCCCCTGGTCGACTGGACTATTAGCCTGAGTATTGCCCCTTACAAAGGACTGATACTCCTAACCCCTCTCCCACCCCCATCAAAACTCTCCTATCCTTTAACCCCTTAGGAAGGCCTGATACACATGGTTACTGGACCATTTGAATTATTCAGGGTAAATAATACAAAATTGAAGATTTCTTTCGGGGTAATGCAACAATCAAAATATGGAATTCTTTGGGGGTAAAGCTTTAATTTCCAAGGCATTTTTTAGGGGTAGACCCATGTTCTTCAATTCTTCGTATTTCAAGGAATTCTTCATGGGTGCATGCAATTTTATTTAATCTTCAGGGGTAACAAGAAAAGGCAAAATCCTCAACAGGGGGGGTAGGGATGTGGATAGGGATATCGATATCAAATTAAATAGCCCAATTTAATTTTGACCATCTAAGAGGAAAAAGAATAAAACCTTGGGGAGATATGGCCCTGGATTTTCGTGTGGCAACTACAGAAGCAAACATCAAAAGTAAATGATCAAAAACACTGAACTTACAAACTTAACTGAATAATAGGCATCAGGTTAAATGTACATTTAGTTAAATGAAATTTAACACAGTTAAGAGGAGTCTAGGCGTCTGTCAGCGGTCAGTGCGGTGGTTGCGCTCAGCCTTGCTTACATCATCTCCATGTGCTTGTTACAGCATTTCCTGGTGACCGCTCTCTTCGTTTAGCCTTTGGATCATTCTATTACCCCCATCCCTCCCCACCTCCCCCTTTACTTTTTCCACTGATAAATCACTGTGACTGGTGCCTGTTTCCGTTGGCGTGGGGGCTCATTGCTCGAAGGCGCAGGTTTACCAGCCATGAGCTGGCTTTGCCGAAAGTGGAGGCCCCTGGATATCCAGGGCACCCGACGCATCATATACTTGCAAGCGACGCATTATATACTTGCGATCCTTGTCATGATCATTAATTCTTGAATTTGGCGCTATTTGTTGTTTCCTGATCGATGGACATTTGTGAAACATTTGAACCAACTGTTCATAAAAATGTTTTGCCTACCTTAAGTATCTGAGCTCTAGCAATTTTCGGAAGGTTCTTTCCGGTCTCGCTCATCAAAGCCTGTTCAATCCACGGTTTTGCAATCCAGGACGCCATTTTTGAAATTTGTGTCCCGCAGGTCCCAGTCTTTTTCGGCAAAAAGACATGTCACGTGGGTCATCACGTGGTACACTGGAGGCAGATAAGAAGAAAACGAGTGTCAAGATGAAATCACATTTTATAGAAGGACAATCTGTTGAAAGATCTGTCAGAAAACAGGATGCACGATACACGACGGTGCTCGATTTAAATGAGACAAATGTCAAAGTGCGAGTTGGGAATCTCAGCCAAGGAATTTCCATAAAATTGCACTTAGCTCCTAAAGAACATAAAACAACACGAACAACTCTCCCCGTCAAAGGCACTTTCAACAAGGGGTGGGGGTACTCAAGAAAGTTTAATACGGGTGGGCTTCACGCCGAGGTCTAATCCCTTACCTTATATAATATATAGATTTAGCCAGGGCTAAAAGGGAAGCTCTGGTTAATAATAAGTGTAAACAAAAAAAATTAAATCGTGTAATGCTAAACGGGGACGACAATGAAAATGGCTTCTAGACTAATAGATCTAATTAGCAAAAAAAACAAATTGCGCGTGCAGCACACTTTTTCTTCTAATTAGCGAAAGACAAATTTGCACGTGCAGCACGCTTTTTTGTCTTTCCCTTGCCGTTGTTTTGCACGACTACAACGCTGTTTTGTACGACTAAGGGCCTGTTTACATCAAGTGGGAGACCCCGGTCTAGTGGGGTTGGTTTCTTTTGTTTTCACGCTCTGGGGGACACAAAACAAAAGAAACCTACCCCACTAGACCGGGGTCCCCCCCTCCATGTAATCAGGCCCTAAAAGGTGAAACTTCCTAGTTACACATTTGTTTTATGGAGGAATTGTCGTATGTGCTTACCCAATATTTTATTTCCTGTATTCATGTTCGGTTTTATTTTTCATTGCCGCTCATTTTCACCTTGCTGGCCGCTAGCATTTCTCATTTTTTCACCGCCGCTTTGAATTTCCATGTTTTTCTTCCTACGAAATTCGTCTCCTTTGTTTTCAATAACTCGCTCTAGCTCTTCCACTTTAGTCTAAACATAAAAAATAACGCCGAAAAAGACACGACTTTGTTGTTGTCTTTTCTTCTAAAAGTCCGGGCGGCCATGTGATTTCCTTCCAAATAAAACCTTCAGTTGTGTTTGGGTTACCATACCTGTTGATTGAGTTATTTTACATTAGTATGCCTGTGGTGCGGACAGACGGTCGCTCGATCGCTCGTTCGGTGTACGGTCACGTGATTACCAAATTTTCTCGGATGGGTAGATTACCACATTTCCATAGCTATGGGGCTCCGCCCACACGTGGAGCTCCGCTTTAAGTGTTGACAGAAAAGGTACCCCTTTGGTATACCTTGTATTGACAAATGGTACCCCTTTCTTATATAACCAGTTTAGAATTTTGGATCCTTGTAACTGCTGCAAATGCACTGTCTTCTAAATATGAATAAATCATAACGACTTTTTCACGGCCATAAAATGTATCTTGTTCTCCCTTTTGCGCCTTTTTACTGATTTCTACAGACCGAAATGACAGATCCCTACCCTTTCATGTACTTCATTTAGTGAAATCCACCTTTCATATACCTGAAGCCTGAAAAAGGTATAGCACCCCTTTCGGGCGGAGCCTTTCCGTATAGGCTATTACATGTATAGGGAGTACCCCCCTGGTCTTCCAATAATACTGTAAATCCACAAAAGCGACACCCGTACACTTTCTCTAACAATGCACTTCCTGCGCACTGATTAAAATGCGGTGCTATAGAGAAGTGTGACGTCAAGTTACCATGGTAGCAAAATTTCTGGATCTCAATGATCCTTCTCGTCAGACGACCATTTGCATTGTCGAATGATGGAAGAAAAGTATGGGGTACCGTTTTAATCCTGACTGAAAGTCTTACATGTCAATTTTTCGCTTTTTTATGCCTTATTTGCAGCACCACGGTTTGTTGAGAACCAGAAATTTGCTGTCATGGCAACGCGACGTAACGATGCACAATTTCTTCTGTTTGCTAGGCTTTTCATCCGAAATCCAGACACCGAGAAAAAAAAAAGTAAAAAAAGGAATCAGAAAAAAACAAAACAAAAACAACAACAACGACATTTTTCACCGATTACACTCTACGTCTAAGTTATAAGCTACCTTATTCTCACTAGTTTTTGCGAGTTCAAAAAAAATCGCGAAATTTAATCGGATATTATCTTATAAAACTATACAAATTTGATGGCAAATTTGAGTTGACATTGGTATAGAAGGGACCGAATAGGCCTATTAATTGCGGTGGAATACATTAACGCCAATGACACCATAGCCCTTAGAAAAAAAAATCGAGGAGTTCGTTCTCATTAATATGCACGAATCAGTGAACCTGATTCAAGAAAATTAGTTGTCTGCCATGAGCCAATGAACGCCGTGAAGGAAATAAACCTTGCATAAAAACGTTAATGCTCACTGACTTTAAGACACAAGCCAGTTATTCCTTCAACAAAATGATCAACCAATGAATACTTTTCTTAGTTTTAGTCACCGATCAAAAACCGGGACACTGTTCGACCTCAAAATAACCAGAAAACCTGACAAATCGGTTAAACCACTTAAAAATAGCATATGACCTTTCCCCCTTGATTTTATTCATGATATAAAAAAAAGACTATGACGTCATCGGCGTTAATGTATTCCACTGTACGTTTGAGAGATTCTATCGCTACCGATCCCCTAAGCCAACATTTTGCATTAAGTGAGAAGTGTTAATGTTGGCTTAGGGGAGGGGTAGGTGGTTAGTTTCCCAGAAACGTATAACGTTCGGTCTCTACCATACTACTGTTCAGAGTTTAAGGCAAAGGAGACAAAGTAAGGAAGAACAGTCTGCACACTGGCTAGTTCACGGAAGTCTTAGTTCTCTCCTAAAGAGAATTTCCGCGTTAATCAGATCTTTCTTTCCAGCAAGCTGAGTCTATTTCTAATTACTACTCACAACAGTGTAGGGCTATTAGTAAAAACTCTCTCGAAAAACTAACCCCATTTTATCTTCCGCGTGATTGGTCGGGTAAGCGCTCTTATAAGGTTATGTTTACTCTTTTTGCGCTTGGGTAACGGCACAAAATGGTGTTGTGTTCACACCATTTTGAAACGTAAGCGTAGCAGGACGTTTGGGGTATTTAAAGCAGTTGATTACCCGAAACTAACAGAAAACGCGTGCACACAGCACCCTGGTGTCCATCATAAGTGCCCAAGTACAAGGTTTCGACCTTTGTACCCAGGCACCATCACGGTGCCAAAATTTTGGCGCGGGTACTTCAAAAAAGGGTGTGATAACATTAGCGAGCTTAAGCAACAACGACGGCGACGGCTACGAAAACGTCACTTAAAAAGTGAATTCGCGCTGCCTCAAACTTTATCGCGCTTATTCCAACTCGTTTAATTCCTCAAATGGTAGTAAATTTTTCTACAGCTGAATTCTAACAGGAAAAGAAAAAGAAAGTTGTTGTCTTGTATTCCCGTCCTCGACAAGACGTGAAATTAGGCATTTGCACGTCGTAGTCGTGCAACAACGGCAAAGAAATGTACAAAAAACGCGTGATGCACGTGCAAAGTTGTTGTTTTGCTAATCTAATTGCTTTTTGTCGTTCTCGTTACCGTCACCGTCGTCGTTGCTTAAGCTGCCTATTAACGTCCAGCAACTACTGTACTTGGGTACTTCAAAAAAGTTGTGTTCACATTAACACCTAGCGAGTACTGTACTTGGGCACCAAGTGTGAACGCTTCCTTAGAAGTCAGTTGAGACACTGTGATCATGCTGTTGGCATTTGGTGTTTACCCTTACTACACAAAAGAACATATTGTGTGTAAGAAATTCGCCCTTTTTCAAGTAACTTAACATTTATGTTGTAGTTAATTTTTTATTTCACTTAATTTTTATTTTTCCATTGTTTTTGGGTATGGTAATGTATGCTAATGAACTTAAAACAAAGAAAAAACAAAAATTACCTGAAATAAAAAATTATCTACAACATATACATTGATCAGTCATTGCTAAAACGAATAATAATATAGACAAAATGAATGCTTTGATAGTTTTGAGCGTGGGGCAATCGCATTGATGTTACTAACTTCGTCCTCCAATAAACTGTACCAATAAACAGCCATTCAAGCGACATGGAGCACCATTTTAATTATTGTCTTACCAAAGTGTAATTCAGATTCGCATTCAGTTCTAAACATTGAAATGTCAGCTGTGTATTTCATTATTCATCCGAGTTGAATTATTAACATTTCGTAGACAAAACCTTTGATAACTACACCTTTGTAATGACCAACCCAGTATAGAATACATCAGAAAGTTGTTTTCGAGGTTAAAAAAAACTTCCCAAAGGTTTATATAGGTAAGAAAAACATGACAGTTCTTGGGTAGGATATCTTCACAACATCCCAACATATTTTCCATGTCAGACTTAACCCTTTTGGCCAGGTGACCTCTTTGATTCAAGCAGAGGCACGCTTCAGAATGTAGCGTGTACATAGCGTAAGCACACACATCCACATATAGAAGAAACAATTCAAGAATTATAAGAGTCGAAAGGATCTCCTGTGTGTCCCTCGTCATAGTAGTTCTTGTACTTTCACACTCTTTCGTACTGCGTTACTGTAGCCTTCATTGAAGCGAAACCAGATTAAACTGGGTTTTGCCTGGGGTGACTGTGCACTTGCACTGCCCTCTGAAACGAAAAGCAAAGCATGTTCAGAACTCGGATATGGCTTCATCACGGAGAAGAACCTTAAAAATAAACATTGATTAGGCTTGGTTTTGCCTGGGGTGACTCTACGCTTGCACTGCCTTCTGAAAAGAAAAGGCAAAGCATGTTCAGAACTCGGATATGGCTTCACCAAAGTGAACCTTACAAAATGAAAAATGATTGGACCGAGTCTTGCCTGGGGTGACTGTGCGCTTATACTGCCTCCCTAAAAAGAAAAGGCAAAGCAAGTTGACCCGGATATTACCTCACCAAGGAGAAGAACTCTTAAAAATGAATCAATATAGGGCTGGCTTTTGCCTGAGATGACTGTGCGTTTGCACTGCCATTTGGTTTAAGAAGACAAAGCATGCTTCACCAAGAAGAGGAACCCTTGAAATTGACTAAACTGGCTTTTGCCTGGAGTGACTGTGCACTTGAGCTGTCTTCTAGATCAAAAAAGGAAAACATTTAAGCTCGCATATTGCATCACCAGGGTAAAAGCCCTAATAGACTGGGTTTGCCTGGGGTGACTATGCACTTGCACTGCCTTCTGAAAACACGGTTACTCGTGTATTGCTCCACCACGGAGGAGAACCTTAAAATGAAAAAAACGATTTTAGGATTCTTCGCAGAGGATTGGTCGTCTATAAACACTGTATTTCTGCGATGCGTTAAGCTTTACGTCTCATTCGTTTACCATATTTTTTATACCTAGACTAATAGTCACAAAAATACTTCTATTCATACGGAACATTCAGCCTTCCATTCTCGGACATTACGAGTAGTCAGTCAGTAAACGTTCAAAAAAAGGTTTTTTCTTTCAATGATTACCTTTAGGCTGTGGTTTTACTTTTAGAGGCCGTCCAAAGAAGTCTAAAGCAGGCTGCAAAAACAATATTTTCACACCAAAAAATCAGTTTGTTTTCGCACTGAAAGTGCTATAACGAGACAGTATGTTGATATGTAAAACTTGAAATATTTACGATGCATTTACAAGTACGTAAATCCTCCATTAAGCCCCCCCCCCCCCCCCCCCCCCCCCACCACACCCCCTCTATCCCTACCCACACCCCAATAACCCCCTATACCCCCAAAAAATAGTATATTTAATAATCCAACATTAACTTTGCCAGTGTTTGTTACGAAACGATTTACAGGACAAAAGTCACGCAGGGATTGATGTTTTGTGTTCTCTTTTTGCTCTACATACTACTGAAAAAATAATTATCTCTCACCAAAAACCAACTTTTTGTTATAACTGAAAAATCTTTAAATAAAGAAAGTGTGGAGTTATAAAAACTTATAATATTTATATTGCTTTTCCAATACGCAAACCCCCCCATAAACCCCCCCCCCCCCCCCCCCCAAATAAGTCCCCTTTTTCAGGGGAAGAAAGTTAATAAGCTCCTCTCTTATAAAAGATAGACTGTTTTAATCAATCACGACTGTGAATCTTCGTGTGGACTGATCCAGGATGGTTTAATTACCAACTGGAAGTTCGGATTTGTTTTTGATTCTCGTCTGCATGACCTCCAACTTTTTGTTACTAAGGTTTTCCACTTTGTATTCTAGTCCTTTGTGAAGAACAGAGACCATCGTGTTTGCTAAATTTAATAAGCCCCCCGCTTCTATTTAGCACTCCCCCTCAAATGCGTTTGAAATAGATAAGCCCCCGGGGGACTTAACAGAGGATTTATGGTACTTCCCCTAAAAAATCTGAAAGTTATTTATCCTACGCGAATTCAGATTTATCGGTCTCTTTAAGCTTCAAAGACAACGCTCTATTCAATCAATCAATCAATCAATCAATCAATCAATCAATCAATCAATCAATCAATCAATCAATCAATCAATTAATCAATCAATCACCAGTCAGTCATTTTGTAAATAAGGTAGTTATTCATTTAGATTTAGATTCGAGGACGACGACGAGGTTTGACTTAAATGAACTTTTTTTTAGCTTACACTCAAAACGTAGACACTCCGGAAAGCTTTATTTCACTCATTTTTGTTTTTTTAACCAGAAAAGTTACCACGGTTCTTTTTATTGAAGGAGGTCAAGACCTCTCCCGATCGCAAAATGATAAAACTTCTAACATCTTATAACTTTTTTTCGTCACTACGACATTCTCGCTAAAACTAGCAATAGAATGACAACGGCTATCACGTTTTCCCGCCAAAACGACGCTGGTTCACGCTCCCGCACTACTTAGTAAACTTAGTCTTCGAATCTAAAGGTCTATACTGACCAAACCATCAAGCATTAATCAAAATGGCCTTACTTAACCTTACTTAACGCGTTCAATACCTTTGCCTCTCGTGGTTTTACTTTACTGGTGTCCAAAGACAAAACAACAAGAGGCTTCTTTGGTTTGGACTCGTCTGCCTTCTTGGATCCACTGGGAGAAAGAACCGGGCAACTGTGAAAATAAAAAGTATAATGTTCTCAAGGCTATCATTAATTTGTAAAAAAAAAAAAAGAAAAGAAAAAAATATAACGTAAAAGGTATCTTGTGCAGCGTCTCATACCCCGTTTAAATGGAAGAAAGTTTTCCCGGGAAAGAAAATAACTCTCCCACCAGAGTTAACTTTAACGAGCGTTTACATGAGAAAAAAGTTGACCCCTCTGCTCAAGCCAGCAGCGCTAAATCATGCTCTGATTGTCGTGCCTTGACCAAGTTGACCCGGCTGGGCAAGCCAAAGTGGTTTTAAGGAGAAAAGTTGGCCCGGCTAGGCGGGGAACCTCATTTAAACGGTTCTCCACGTTTTGCAAAGAAATGTACGAAAAGTTGGTTCGCCTCAGGGCTGCTAGGGTAGGCGGATGACCCTCCTTTCTGGGAGAACTTTTCTTCGCATAAACGGGGCGTTACTAGTAAATTACCAAACAAAGGTTGTGCAAGTACTGGATCTTAAATCTCACCTTGTATTTTGATGAGCTGTCAGAGACCTTTCCGTTCTTCTCATCTTTTCCAACTCAATCTACAACACAAAGAGCCACGTTTTTAATACCTCTACATGGACATGAGGCCTTGAACTAAGATAGAAAATGACTAAACAGTGCAATAACGTCGATATTTCTGGACAACAAATCCTAACTCATTTGGGCACAGTTAACAGTTTACCCTTTCAGCCCCAATATCCACATACAAACTCTCCAGACTGATCTCCAACATTTCCTTGAAGAATTAGTAGAGACAATTTGATTAAAGATCAAAGCACTTCCCCTTCGAAAATCATTTCATTAATCCTCAAAACCTTTTCTCTTTATTATGTATATATATATATAGAAAATTGCCTATGATTAGTTTTGGGGCTTGATACCCTTCTAAAAGTAGTTAAGTTTAGAAATTCCTGAAATTCCAACAAGGTCGCAGCGCTTTTGCTCCGTTTCATTGCTTGAAGAACAAAGCATATTCACATGTAGCGTGCTTGTTTCGCAGGGATCTTGTTCCTTTGCCTGTGTACAGACGCCCGCGCGTCCCCCCAAAAATTCCGGAATTCGCCTCCAGACCTCCAGTAACTCGAGTGGACTTGATTCGTCTCCTGTAAACTCCGATGGACTCCACCAGTATATGATTATTCTAGCCTCCCCGACGTTAACATGTTTAGACTTCAGGTTTCTCAGGACTAGACTTCCTCAACTCCAGTGGACTCGATGAGTTTCTAGTGGACTCGGATGGACTTAAAACCCTCCTCAAGGTTAATTGTTTATATTTCCGGTTTCATTTCTTCCGGTAACTCCAGAGGACTGTATAAGGCATGAATTATTGTATCTCAAGGATAATTTTTAAGCGTAAATGTGTTAGCAATAGTAGTACTGTTACCTCTCTGGCTATCAGCTGTTTAGTGGCATAAGGTAACTGTCTGTGCTGAGGCAGACCTGTGAATTTTACAGCTTCTTCAATATTTCTATACCAAGGAAGAGAAAAACAATAACAAAAAAATGTCAGGATTACGGTGTATATGAAAATCTTAACGCACACCAAGAGCCATGGCTCTTGCGCACACAAAATTCTTGTCACGCAAGTGTTGTAAGGTGTCCTACAGGCCGTATCCGTCACAGAGTATGTTCAAAGCAGTCAAACGTTTATTAGGCTGCGTGCAAACGGACGCAACAACTCCCAACATTGTTGCGCCAACAATGTTGGGAGTTGCTGCGTCCGTGTTGGCAGTGGTCTGCAAACGGTTGCAACAACTCCCAACAATGTTGGGACCTGTACTGCATCGTGGGAAGGATACAACCCATAAGTCTTTGTAAACTATGCGTAATGAGCGTGCGTGGCCCCAACAATGTTGGAAGAGCTGTGCAAACGGATCCAACACTGTTGCGTTACGCTTCGGCGATCGCGGAACAAAAGAAATGTTGGGAGTTGTTGGCTGAAACGTTTGACCGGTTTCAAAGTTTGCGCAACAACACGCAACAACATCCAACAATATGCAACAGGGTGTGCAAACGGACGCAACATGTAACATCCAACAATGTTGGGAGTTGTTGGCCAACATATTGCGTCCGTTTGCACGGGGCTTTACACACGTCTTTTTTAAAATTGTTGGGTGCTTATTTAACAGTAAGTGAAAACATCGACAATGATGTGTAAAATCATCAGTTAACGTACTTAAGCTATCAAGTTTTTTTAAATCTTTTCTTTAAATATTTAGCTTCATTTCTTTGAAAATCGGTCGCGCCCGAGTAGAATTATGCTGCCAAATAGCGCTTACAACAACACCAGTTGTCAAACAGTTAGAACGTTAAGTAAACCTTCAAAGTAAATTAACAATTAACAGTTAAGACTAGTAAATTAACGGCGGCATTGGTGACATCTTAAACTTCCAACAGTAAAAGTTGCAACTTCAGCTTTTCAGAACAAGCATTGCTTTTGCAAATTTCTCTGGATTGACTGCGGTGAACAGCGCGGTGAGCAAATAAAAACAATCAAAAGGATGGCCATTAAAGGGATTCAAGGAAGAAATGGATTTTCAGGACTTCCATTCACGCTTCGGACAAACAGTGAGTCTCGTTTTCGATACATTACGTGAAACACAAGTACTTACGGATCCAGGACATAAGTGTATTGCCCTTCAAAGTTTCTCTCCTGGTGATAGGTTAGGTTATAGCCAATCATTGTGTCAATAAGTTCCACTAATTGCTGTTTCTCCCGTGCTGAAAATAGCTGAGTATTGACCTGACAAGAATATTATTTAATTTCAGTTCCCTTGTTCGTATCTTTCATTTCCTTTACAGTCCCATGAAAAAGCGGGGTGGGGGGGGGGGGGGTTTGAGATGTGTTTTATGTGCAAGAATTATTTTTTGACTTTATTGTTTCTCTTTGTTGGGGTGTTTGTGTTTGCGAGTGGGGCGGGAAAGGGTGGGGGGGGGGGGGGGGGGTATATTGGAGGGGGGGGTTTTTTTTAAAAGGGGGAAGGGAGCGGTTTAAACAGTATATACCTTTTCAGAAAGAAAAGGTACCCCTTTCGTATTGCTTCCATTGAAAAAAGTTACCCCTTTAACACACCTACTTAATAAGAATAAATTACTTGCCATTTTCGTTTAGGAAATTAAAATGAAATAGCAATGAGACTTTAGACCGTTCACATGTCTCCTATTTTTCCTTTCCTTTGCATTATGGGAAGCCAACTTGGATGCGCTCGATCCCGACGATCTTACGGAAAAATAGGGGACTGTGAACAGAGTAATGAGACTTCGAATTCGAAGGCAGTTTTGTATACTTTAATGATAGATTTTCCTACCCTTTCATTAGTTTCATATACTTCAATTCTCTACCCTTTTATATACCTGGTACCCCTTTCGAGTAGAGCGTCACCGTATAGGCCATTATGGGAGTCCTCGGATTTTAAATATGCGTTATTAACCGAGCTTAAGGTCAAGATAACGGGTTTCTTGTGGGACCAAGGCGAGAAGTCCCGAGCGGGAAAGGTAGGCTAATTAATCTGCTCGGGTAGCTAATGACATCGCAGAATTTGCTTCATCTTGCCCACTTGTGGAACCAGTCATGTATCAAGTAATTCTTTCATATAAACCATAGAACCATTAACGATCAACGTGAAATTCCGAAACCAAAATATACCACAAAGAATCGTCACTATAAATACACCAAAACACGATCAGAACTTCCACGTGTCGACCTCTCAGCCACCACACCTCTCACTAATGGTGTACTACCACATGTAATACGTCCATTATACTGTAGCTTTGTCAAGTACTAATCGTTCTTAGGGCCGAAAAGTAAAGTTTAAAAATGTATTATCTGAAAGTGCTGCAACCATGGGTACCACAGGTCTTTTTCTCGCGTGCGGCGGGGAAGCTTCGGCGTCGGTGTCGCCGTCGCTAGTAGGCCGACACATCTTCGGCCGAGGCCGAGGCCACAAACGAGCGAATGAAGCGTGGTCACTATAAAAAAGATTTGATCAAAACCGGAAACCGAGTTATTAACTACTGTTGTTCTGCCCTGTTCCCTTGGTTCGGTCATAGAAGAGCTTCAACAATCAAGCTTACCGGTCTCAGTGTTGGTGTAATGACCTCTAGAATGGAGGGAAGTAGCTCCAGACAGGCAGTGCGTAAATTGATATTTTGCCGGATATGTGGAGATGACTCATTCTTTATAGCGTTGACGAGGTTCTTTATCTTTGTTTCTTTAAGATGGCTCTACAAACAACATCAAAACAGAAAAGTCAATTCACGCTTTTTCTCATTCGATTCCACAAAAGAGAGCTTTAGATTCTAAGACGAGGACCACTAGGAGTACGAGATTTTCTCATCAATACTAAGTAGTGCGCGTGCGTGAACCAGCGTCATTTTGGCGGGAACACGTGGTAGCTGTCACTCTACCACAGGGTTTTAACAAGAATTTCGTAGTAGCGGAACCAAGTTATCAAATGTTAGAAGTTTTATCATTTTGCGCTTGGGTATTGGCTGTTATCCTGTCTTCAAATCTTAAGGTCATTAAAGACTTCTTGACGACAGTGACAAAGGCGTACGCAACACTCAAGTCTAAACAACAAGACTTCCAGCCAGGTGGTTTGTGTAAATGGTAAGAACCCCTGATACTCCCTTTTCAGGGCATGAATTTGTCTCATCTGGTTAGCTGGCCTTGCATTTTCTCTTGTAAAACGTCTCATTATTGTCACCTCAGTAACACCTTGAGGGCTCACTGGTAAACTAATATTAACCAAGTTGCTCGTGGGATATTTCACGCTATATCAGTTAAGGGGGTTATGTCACGAGGATTTTGCTGTTTAACCCTTTTACTCCCAAGATCTGATAAGTAATTCTCCTTTCCGGCTGCTATACATTTCATTGTGCATTAGTTCAGAGAATTTGGGTTTATATCAAAAGTGTATCCTCTGGCTGCTATACATTTCCCTATTCTCATCATCTTTCTGCTGGACAATGAATTGATATTATAAGCAGAAGTTAGATGCTGGTCACTTCTGGGACTTGAAGGGTTAACGTCCATTCTGTGCTGAAGTCATTACCTAGAGCATTTAGTTTACCCATACACAAAATACTCCTGTATAGTTATGGAAAAGATATCAAGCAAATTTCACAGGGAGCACTAACCATAATAATTTTTTTTTGTGATTGACTTTTGAAGGCGTTGGATTTAAACTTGAAAACGTCGGCCCAACTTTTTCAAGTTTCAATCCATGTCCATCCTTGCCATTCGTTGCAACAGACGACAGAAAATAGTTTCAGTGCCTAAATACAATCTTAGATAACAAAACTGGACCATTATTTTTTAGTTTTAATATTTTCTAAATTCAACTGACGCGAAAGAAAAGATAGGAAATAGAGAAATAAAGATAGGAAACAGAGGAAATGTCGCCACATAGCCCTAGCGCAGTTGCGTATGGCTTGTCTTGTCTTGTCAGTCGCCTACCTCATACTGACTGCTGGGGTAACTCAGTTTTGAGTAAGACTGTGTCGCATAAAACATGTGGAATGCTACCGAGAGGAATGGACTGTAACCCATGAGAATGTAGCTCTGTCGCTGCATGATAGCTTGTTCAATGAAGTCTGAAAATGCTAGCCACTCGGTTCCAGAAACAACCTTAAACAGACAACAAATGGGTAGTTCAGCAAATATTTCGTGACTATGTCTCTCATGGCCTCCAGCAAGCTCTCCTTTTTTAGGGGCGAGCAAAGTGAAGCTCGCCAGAACACGCGAGCGAGCGGCGAGGCCACGAGGAGACCCTAGATTTTGTGTCCCCTTACGCGTGCCGCCCGCACGACTCCCGCGACATCCCCTAAATGGAGAGCTCACTCGCAGGTTACTTCTCTAATTTATATTGCGTTTTCTAAGGACAGCGGTAACCCAAGCTAATCTAGGTTCAATAGAATACAAAGTTCCCTTTTTATAGGAACATACGGGGACATTATTTTTTGACAACAGAGCAAGTTTGAATTGCAAAGGTTTCGGCACTAAAGGGTTTTGTAATGGAACAAAGTAACGTTGTTTTGTTCATCATCTAGCATTACTGCATTCCAGCGCTAAGAACTTAGTCCAAAACTTTTCAAGGAAATCTTTTGCATTCCCATACAAACTTTTATAATTAAAAATGTGAAAAAACACATCCCTGTAAGTTAGGTTAAGCGCTATTAAGCTAAGGCGGCCTGTAGTTGGGTCAGTTAGGCGGATCAGTTATTGGGACGCCCTACTTTTGTGTAGAGATTGAGCCTTCTACGCAAACGTCCTTTTGGCTCGTGCCACGCAATTGTCTCCAAGGATTGCGTGACCAGCAAAAAGGAAGTCTGTTAAGGAGGCTAAAAGTAAATAGGAAAGGTGATAACATAGAGGCAGGCGGGCTGCTATATTTCATGACTTTTGACAGAGGCATTTCTAGGCTGGTGTGATGGATAGTGGTATAAGGCGCGACATTTCAGCGCGAAGAGGATCGGAAGGGTGATGATGATGACGACGACGACGACGATGATGATGATAATGACGATAATGATGATGACGACGATGATGATGATGATGATGACGAGGATGATGATGATGACGAGGATGATGATGACGACGATAATGATGACGAGGATGATGACGACGATAATGATGACGAGGATGATGATGATGATGATGATGAACAATAATATTCGACAAAATCTTACACCCAATGAAGAAGTAAACACAATGGACTTATTATACCAGACTGCATGAGCCTACTTAAATAACAACGGTGACGTGTCTGATAGGCCTCTCGGGACAGGCTACAACCTCACTGTACTATCTTCTTTATGTTGTAATACTACTCTTCAGCTGACAGCAAAACGAAAGAGCCTACCATGCTAGGGTTCATCCACTCATTTTTTCACAGGTTTGAAAACAGGTCATTTAGAAAAGTTCTATTTTAGAGACAAAATTAATATACAAGAGGCTAACTCTGAAATCTATTTCGAAACGTTTTAAATATCACATTACCTACCACGTCAAAGCTTGGATCTTTGAACTTAACTTGCAGATAGTTTTCAAATAAACCTGTACACACACAAAAGCAAAAATTAAATCATCAAATTTACCAAGTCAGAGGAAGCTTTTTCTGAACAGACAGAAGAACAAGAAAATAACGGCGACTCTTAAAGGCTGGTTTTCACTAGCGACAGAGTCGGAGTCGTAGAGCTTATGATCTAACGAAACCAGATTGTCGGAGTCGGAAGCAGAAGCGGAAGAACTAAACCAATCACAAAGCGTGGGAACGAGCACTGTGATTGATTTATCCTTCCGCTTCTGCTTCCGACTCCGACAATCTGGTTTTCACTAGATCATAAGTAAGCGACGGAGTCGTAAGCAGAGTCGGAAGAAATGGAAACGTTTTGATTGTTCTGACTCCGATTCCGTCGCGCTTATGACTCCACTTACGACTCCGACTCCGACTCCGACTCCGTCGCTAGAGAAAACCAACCTTAAGGGAGGGTTTATTTTCTACTGGAGCTGAGGGCATTACCTAGCAAGATGGGTCTGGAGAAAATTCAGAGGGAATTAATCGGTGTTAACCTATGCACGAATATACAGAGCATACTTTATTGTATTTCTAATGGCGAGTGTTGGAAGTTTCATTTGCTAGGGATGAAGAATTTCAAAATAATTTCCCGTTGAACTATAGCTAAAACCCAAGGGGTAAGGGTGTGGTTAACAGGTACGTGCTACTGTGAAGGGTGTGGCTTTCTAGCAGTTTAAACTGGGATGGGGTTTAAAAATCACAGGGTTTTGGTCTGGAACAGGAGAATCAAAAATTGTATTGGGAAACAATTCAATGGTATGAGAAAAATCGTGCAACGTGTAAGTCTGCAGGCAAGCAAGAATGAGGGAGTAATATGATGATGTACTTTTTACCACTACATTCACAAATTTAAAATATTATCATATGACGCAAACTTTACGTATGGCGATGTAACTCAACCATCACTGTACCTTGTGCCACTTTCTCATATTGTCCACTTGACGAGGCAGAATGGAGTACTGTATGAAAACGATTAGACATGGCTGACATTCCTCTGTGCTCGGAGCCACCGCCAGTACTTTCGTTAAACGTTGATAACAATCCCCTGTTGTTGGCGAAACCATTTTGGTTTTCATTGTTTGCGATGGCTGCAAACCGAATGCGTTTTGGTTTTGGAAGCTGAAATATCTCTTGCCAAATAGAGAATAAGCTGCGATGGGAGTCCTTTTGACCAATCTCCATTGACTGGACATGTTCTAACCACACACGCCCATGTCGCTTATGGATAAACTGCAGGGATGAGATAAAATGTTTGTGAGAGTAATCGTACACTTGAGAAAAGTTTAAAAACTACACTGTCAAATTATTTGACCAGCGCGCTACTTTGGGGACGCTATCACACTTTTCACTGGCCATTCAGGGGCTGCACAGGAAACTGGGGTAACATTTGTCGGATCAGGAGACACACTAGAGACCTTTACATTCTAAGACGAGAACGACTACGAATACTAGATTTTCTCAGTAGTAAGTAGTGCTCGCGCGTGAGGCAGCGTCATTTTGGCGGGAAAACGTGGTAGCCTTCGTCATTCTACTACGGGTTTTAGCGAGAATGTCGTAGTGTCAGAAGTTTTGTCATTTTTCGATCGGGAGAGGGTGTATTCCTCCTTCACTAAAGGTAACAGTGCTAACTTTTCTAGTGAAAAATGATAAAATGAAGCTCTCTAGGAAGTCTATATTTTGAGAATACGCGAAAAGACTGTAAGTCAAATCTCGTAGTCGTAGTCGTCCTCGTATCTAAAGGTCTCCTCTGTCATGATGGGTCTCATATCATCTTTTGTAGACCTTTCCTCTTGCCTAAAAAACTGTTTGACAGTCTGCTTATTCTTTATTTTGAAGTCAAGGGAAAATATTAGAGATATGAACACAGAAATAAACTTCATGGCCAGGTTTGTTTGGTAAAAACTTGTTGCCAGGATCTTGTCCAAGTTACAGGCGGCCCTTGAAAATATCATATCTTCTGATAAATTGCATTTTTAACAAACTTTATATAAAAAAAAATTTTAAAAAAAGCAAACAAACAGTATCCGCAATTATCAACAGCTAGTCTAGGCGAGCAATATTCACATATACAAAAATATAAGAAAGCTCACAAACAAGACTAAAGAGAAAAAGAAAATATAAAGGTATAACTTTTTAAATTGTCTTCTATCATGAAAAAAAGGAGAATTCAGGAACTCGGAAAATCGCATCCGTCGCCTACGCACACACGCACATAATTATTTTTCGACATTTTCACATGAACGTTTTTGTACCTGGAATCGTTTAGTTGCATGTTTTAAATGCTATTGTACCTGGTCCATACCTGTAGAGTATTCAGACACGATCTGATATCGTTATCAGTCTTCATGCATAAAGAGGTGAGAGTTGTCATGTCAGTGTTAATTGACTCTTGCCTTGATATCTGAGAAAAAAGGGAAGGGTTTGCTCAATTCAATGTTAGAGATAAAAAAATATCGCCAAATGTCGAGGATGAGATCGGAGAAAAACACATGCGTCCTTTTTATATGTTAACATGTTAACAGTAAGCTCGGATGTCAGCATACAATGGGACACCAGCAGCCACTGTCCAGTCCATTTATGAGCTTTCTGTAACAAACCTGGCCCGTGATATAAAGGGTATGTAAAATGAGGCAGGCTACAACACTAGGGAAACATCCCCAACCCTTTTCGAACAGTAGTGTGGGTTCTTTTACGTCCGCTTCAGTTTGACCAATGAAAGGAAGGATGAAGGAGATAAGGCCAACAGCTTAACGTCACAGCCCAATGACACGACCATCTGAACTCAGACAATATCTTACATCACAGCCACCGTGATCTTACCAGTTTTTTAGAGACCCTAGTTGTTTGTCTGGCCGGTGTTTGAACCCACGACGACCTCCCACTCGGTTGACCGGCACTCTCCCAATTGAGTTAACCAGGTGGCAGTTTATAAATATTAATGGTAATCCAGCTAATCTTTGCACTCCTAGAAGTGGCCAATTGTTTAAAAAAGATTAAAAAAACTTACACATTCCATTTTATAAAACACTGAAAAACAAAGTACTGCTAAGGAGGTTTAATTTGAATGGTCACACCATGGGTTTTCCTCCACAATAAATACATGGTACCAGGTGAGAGCACTGCGGGGGGAGGAGGGTTTCATTGAAATGGTGATATCATAGCCGCGATTTCATATCAACGGACGCAAAATTCATCATCCATTCTTGAAGTGAGAGGGCTTAAGTCAAAACTGTTTTTAACTCAGAGTATGCGAAGGCATTGAAAACATGCAGACAAACATTACCTCCAAAAGGCGAGTAGCCAAGCGGGCAGGAATAGTTGGTGGGAATGTTACAAGAAAGGCAACTTGACGTAGCTGACGTAATGCAGGGGCGTACCTGAGACATGGACATGAATAAAACATTGTAATTATTAAGCACATGTGAAGAGCAGAAGAGGCACTGCAAGTCATTTTGGGCAGGCCACACCGGCAATGTCTAATGATTAGAAAAAAGACTGTAGAATTTGATTGTGTTGGATAGTGTACAGCACAATCCTGATTTCTCAAAATGTCACCTTTTTTCTAAATTCCTGACAATGTGAACCAAACCTAAGTTTCCTTTGCTAGTCTAACAGTAATTTTGCCCTCTCTTAAACCTCCCAATAATTTGATTTTAAATAAATAAATAAGCAAGCCTCTTTGAATCTGTGCACATTAACACTAACACATTTGATATCTCAAAAGTTTTCATAACTACAAAAAACTAAATAATATTTTCTTATAGTCCGACCATTCTTTGTTCAGGATGCTAAAAATCATAGAAATCAATTAAATCTTTCCTGCTGAAAAACTCAATTAAAAAACGTAACCATTATGCATATAAATAGGTTTCGGCCACCTTAAACACATTCAAGTTACATCATTTATGTTGAATATAGATCTATCTGATCTGTAAGAAGTAATCATGTCCATGAGAATCATGTCTCCATAATTCTTCGACTCACTGGTCATTGCAGATGCAAATAATTGGTCGGGAGAGTGGGCCTGCTTTCTTCTTCTTTCTTAATTTCTTTGCAGGAGCAGCATCTAAGATAAAAAACAATCACATTACTATAACATCTGTAAGTACAATATCAATTTTTAGGACATTAAACCTACAATCATGGACAAAAGTCTTGGTACACTTTTGCATTTCTGGGGCATTTTCCAATTCACAAATGCCTAACCTCTCCCCTCATCCCATAAACAGCATTGGACACGTGTTTCCAAAATTTGTTTGTGAGTTTCAACTTTGTATAGGGTGGATGGTGTGACAACTGCAAGAAACTTTAGAAAAGCTTGCACTGTTTATGAGGGAATCCTGAAAATACAGAAAATTATGAAAAATGCAACACTGTTCCAAGGACTTTTGTATAGGAGAAACGTACAAAATATTCCAGTTTAGTTCAAGTGCATGAACTAAGGAAGCCTAGCAGATGCTAACATAACATGAAGGACTTATTTTTTTTAAAATAAGACATGGCTTATTTTGTATTGAAAGCCTTTAGTTAAGTTGATCTAACAATGTACTTTCATCACAAGTAAATGGCAACTTGTCAATTGACTTACCAAACTTTTAAAGATTACCCTTTCACAACTTGAAAAATGTGATCACACTCTACTTCTAGCTTCTCACTAAGTCTAAACTAAAACTTTTTTAAGTCTTGCATGCAATACCTGAATCCTTTTGTTTGATAACTGACAATAGGACATTTATGGCAGGCTGTTGAAGACAGAAAGAAAAAAAGGTGTCAATCATATCAATTATCACACCATTGAAATTTATTATGATATTATGGGATTGGAAGGCATATTCAGAAAGAAAAAGATGAAAAATGCTCCCCCGCCAAAACTCAGCTTGTTAGTGCAAATTGGTGGGGAAAAACAAGCACCTTTATGCTCTGATGACTTCATACAAGTCCTTCTATAACTGCCTTGGATCGATCCTGGCCTATGCTAGAGGGTTTTATATGGAGTCATCTGAGCATAACAATGCTTATGTCTCCCAGCCAATTTGCACTAACAGGCTTATTTCTGGCCAGTGAGAATTTTTCATCTTGTTCTTTCTGGATACGCTAGCCTATTCCATAATATCACAAATTTAGTTTTTGTGATGTCATAACATCTCTTCTCTAATATATGTGTGGCTTAGACAAAAATAAAAACATTTCAAAAATATAATTCTACATGAAGTCTATGCACTAAATTAAGTACAAAATTAATATTTAATATAAGACAATTTTTCAAGGTTCTATTTACTATACCGATTGCTATACATGTAACTCATTACTTTTTACATGTAGCTGGTAATAACTCATCACTTACTGCAGGTGCTCCATCAATTTCATCAATAACCAAACAGTTTGGCTTCTCATTATATCCCAGCACTGATCTCATCTGTGTTGAGGCTTCAATTGTGTTTCTGAACACCTCCTGTGAGCGATCATCACTATCAAAAAATTAAAGGACAGTTAATTAAACAATCTCCCACTTAGAGTGCAGTTTAAGAGACTCAGTAGCCCAACAAATCTGTTTATAAGGGGCCTATTTCAAGAAGTTTGCATGAAAATGCATGGTTGTCTAGTCTGTGCCCCACTTGACTTCTCAAAAGGCCCGGAAACTTTTTAGGCCTGAAGGTTAGTTCTAAAATCAAAACTTGTTGAATAGTAGCAAAGTTCCTTGGACACAAACCAGTCGGTTTTGCTTCATTAACTGATACACATGTAGTTTCATTGCATTGTTTTCAAAATATTATTATCAAAACTTTGATCTTTACTGTAAACAAGGCAACCAGAACAGCTTTCCAGGCCCAAAAAGTTAACAGAACTTTTGAAAAACAGGCCCCTGGGCTCTAAATGACAAAGAGTGCATGAACGTACATTGTACAAAAACACAATGGTATGGAAAGATAATGGCTCCCAGTAAATTGGCAGTCGATGTAAATCTGTCTATCCATCAGATACCAGATAAGTGGGGGGAGGGGGGGAGTACTGAAATATGAAAGCTATAATGAATTTTAAGCAGCTTAGTTTCAAAAGAAACTGCACTGAAATGCTTGTTGGGAGACAAAACACAAATTTGGTTTTCATGATCAATTTACAACTGTAAAAACATTTAAATGCTGGCATTATGAGCCACTATTCTTTTGTTACAATGGCATATTGGTTGTGCCTCTGTAAAGAGAAGGGTAGTTTAGGTTTAGTCTAAATAAGGCAAAGAATTCACACTGACCAGGTTTTAGCCAAAATCAGGCTTAACCATTACAACATAGGAATTTCTTTACCATAAAATGTGGCTACCATGGTAAATGTTTCACCTTAGTTAATATTTACAGTGGGGTACAAATTTTTTCCCACCTAGTTTGTGGTATGAGCTGCATTAATTTTGCAGTATTGAATATATCCTCACCTTGCATTCATTTCAACCACATTGTATCCAGCATGCTGAGCAATGACATGAGCAAGGGTTGTTTTACCAAGGCCAGGAGGACCACATAGTAGTGCAACCTGACAAATAATAAAGAAAATAAACAAAAAAACCATAGATTACAGTCAACAGATAAACCATAAAGAATAATGTGTAGTCAAGCATGTAATTGCACTAGATTCACCGCATCTCAACATCATTACAAACCTTGCGCACTGGGCGGCCAGTTGCATCAATTTCCTGGAATTAAAAATATTGTACCACTCATCAAAAGGCAGGTAATTGTACAAAGAATCACTTCAATTGCAATTGGCATTGCTGCATTGTGTATTGACAACCACATTTATTGTTCATGAAATTAGAGTCATATCCTGTAGAGAAAAAACCTGCGACTAAGAACCTGCATTTTCCTAAGTTAGCCTAAACAGGTTCTTACATAAATGGTAACTAGCACAAATTTAGGTTCTTAAATAATAGGCTCTTATTTTCTGAAGAAAAAATATATTGTAGCTAAGAGTTTTTTAAAATTTTAGTGGTATTTAGTATACCATTACAATTTCAGTTGAAGTAATGAGGCACCTATATATCACCAAAGAGGATCCTGGATGTTGACTTATCTCCCTTGTATGTACAAATGTTTTTTTATAGATTTTAGAAAATAAGAGCCTGTTTCAAATTTTAGGCTAAACAAGAGGGAGCCTAACTGGCAAATTTAAGCCTAAGAGGTTCTTGAAAACTAGGCTCTTAGTAACAGGGTTTTACTGCACTTACAGGAATAAAAGAGAGGTCCTGCTACTTGAAATACATATTATGCTAATTTGTAGTTTAATATTAAACGCTAAGTTGAAGATCATAGCCCATCAGGCTACCTATCTGATAAAAAAGGAGGATAACACAACTGTATGTAGAGATGGGATATCTCTTTTACTCCTCAATCAGACACTTTATTACTGCCCTTGAATGAGGACTTAATGTCAAACAGTTGCCACATATCAATGAACAATTATTTGACTTCAGTGATGCACAGTACCAAGCATTGACATTTTGTTGACATTACTCACAATAACTATTGAACTCAAATAGGGGAACCACTTTGTTTTTCCAGGGAAACAGTAAAGACTACATGCTGTGCTCAAAGAAAAAAACTCCTAAGAGCCTAAAAGCTCTTAAGCTCTGATATCAAGGTATAGTTCCTGGAAAAAAGTTTGGTACAAATAATGAGATTTCATGATCACCCAAAACAAAACCAACCATCATAGGCCAATGGGCTCTGCTGGTGTACAGCCTTTTGTTAAGGTGCTTTCCAAAAATCAGAACTGGCTGGCCAGATCGGTCATTTTAAAAATGAAATAATATATAGATTTAGCCAGGGCTAAAAGTGAGGCTCCCATTAATAAATTTATAATTTAAATTAAACAATAAACTTGTATTCGAATCCCACAATTCAGTTAACTTTAGAGCACATTTATGTGACTTTTGAGGGAAAGGCTACCTGATTTTAGAGAAAAATAATTTGCAAACAGCCCAAGAGTGAACCAAATCTTACATCGAGTTGATAGCCTCATATGTACACCCAAAAACTGGTAATCATCTTCGATCACATTTAAGAGCCATAATGGCTCTTGATCACCGTAGATTAATTAGTGGAAAAAAAAATCAGGCCAACTTTTTTGCGTTCGACAAGTTTACTTTGCAAAATCTTGTCAACAAATCTGGGTGCGTGTAAACCAACCTTTTATACCATTTATACATCACATCTGAGGTGAAACAGTAGTATGAGGCACTGTTTTTATCATACCGGCAGACCTCGGACAGAAAGCAGTATTTCACAATACAAATTGCACTCATTCAATATTCATAAACTGTTAAAAAAATTTCCAAAATCACCTATACGGCCATCCGGTTCTCACTTTTGTAGTGCGAGCTGTGGCGAGTGTTTGAATGAACATTAACAGAGTTACGCTCCAACATTATAAAGAATTTATTCTGTTTATTTTTTATTTAATGGTTTATTAACGCGCGGCATTTTGAGTACTCCTGCAAGCGATGTTCACTGAACGACTGAAAACAATCGGCACAGCGATTAAAATTACAAGAGAGACTACTAACAATCAATAAAAGAAATATAATTCGGTGAAACATATACAGAAACAACAATTTTCATTCAGGAAGACAAGTATTAAAGTATCCCTAAAAATCCTGAGTCTTCAAGCTTCAAGCTTAAGTTTATGTTTTAAGCCGGCTTCCCGGTGTTTGCTTTTTTCAAAGACGAACTCGAGGCAAGAAAATCGCTCAAAGCTTTCTTTTCCGGCCAGAATTATAACTAAATATTCTTTGGAACGTTTTCTTTCTATTTGCGGTGAGAAACTGTCTAAAGGCTTTTTAAAGTTCTGTAAGCTTATATCAAACCTGATACTCGGTCAGATCATTGTCTCAAATCTTACAAACGTGCATAAACTAAATGACCGCATAAACTCCGCTCGACTTCATTAAATTAGATCCAAAAAAACAAACATCAAATACAATAATTTCTCTGGCTTACCATTCGAGATGCAGCTCCTGAAAGGTATCAAGAAAAGCCAGTATCGCTTCAGACTTTGCAATCCTCTTACGCATCAAGCAAGGTGAAAACGAAAACGATGCCATCCGAAATCGGATTTCCGACTTTGACAAGCGACGTATTCCTCAACCAAAAACCCAATAAACAAACTAGCCATGAATAACAGAGGACTCCTGATAGCAGCTGAATTTCATTTTGCACATCCAGTGGAAAAAGACAGTTAAAAACATCACAAGTTGACACAAAACTCTGTCAGCTTCAGCTGTCAAAGTAAACAAGATTCAAGATGCTGCATAAATTTTCCGCATGAACTCACCTGTCAAATTTTGACCAATCAGAGCATAAAAATTGGACGTAGAGCGTGACCAACGCGTGACCATGGTGAGAAAAGTCAAAGGCAACTGTCTTCCCTGCCTGTAACAGCTGGCTGAATTTTCGCGTCCGAGGTCAGTTTGTAATCAAAATTTTAATTGTGTAGCACATAAACACAACATATTTCATATGAATTTAGAAAAAAAATTGAACTTGAGCCTGCGATCACTTGAAAACTAGTAACTTGTCAGCGGATAACTTCAAAAAAATACTTGACCTCGATGGGTCGACACCTGAGCCCGCGATACGGTCAAGTGATACTGGTCAGCGGGTACTCTGTTTTGACAGCTGTCAATTGATCAAAACATTGATGTCCAATATGTGTGCATTATCAGTTTAACTAGTAAAAGTATGAGATTGAACATTGTTCGCGATCTAGTAAAACAATTAACTGGTCAGCGGACAGCTTCCAAATAAATCACGTCACCTCGATGAGTTGAAACATGAGCCCGCGATATGGTCATGGGATACTGGTCAGTGGGTATCCTGTTTTGACAGCTGTCAATTGACCATATTGTGAATGTCCTATACTAAAATCCTATATTAAAGATAAGGACTTGCCAAGACATGCCTGAGACACCCCTCCCTTCCTTTTGATAGTCTCCCCTACCCCACCCGTACAATCTGTAGACGCGTACGTACGTATGTACGTACGTACGTACGTACGTACGTACGTACGCTCGGTCAATCACGTGACAACCAAACGAAAAGAGGTTGACCATATTCCATGAGCATGGGGCTCTGTCCCACGCGCGCTTCGCGCGCGCGGGAGCCCCGCTATGAGTATTTTCTCGAAATTTTAACTAAAACATATACACAATGTAGCTGCCATGCACACTATTTAAGAATAAGAATAAACTGATCTGTCTGGATAGTCCTGATTAAAAGTGGAATTCTCATGATGACTGGACTGGTCTGGCCAGCAAGCTCTAGCAAAAAATGGTAAGCGCCCTTAGTTTTTGTCAAACCAAATCCGTTAACTTGTAATTTAAGCTCTGTTAGACCTCTGGGGCAATAGCACATGTATGAATAGTCAGAGTGGTGGTGGAAAGGAAAAGTAGTACACTTACAGTCCAGTCGGCTTCGTCTTGTTCTCCTTGTTTCTTGAAGTTCTTTGTAGACGCTGACTTTTGCTTTTTGGCCTGTTCAGGTTTTGGCTTTGATTTCTTGTCCTGTTTTCCTCTACCAAACACAGTTTTGTCCCAAAGTTTTAACCACTTTAAGAGAGTACGATTGATAGCCTAAGAAAAAAAAGTGAAAAACAAGTAAAAACAGAGACTTGAACAAGAGAATTAAAATACAAATAAGATAAATATAGCCTTAGCATTAACAGCACTAGAACCACAGGTTACAGGTGTAGAGTGTGAGTGCCTGGGCAACAAGAACCTTAACCCTGAAACTCCTCACATTGTAACATTACCAATATTTTTTTTAGTTTTGAGAAAAACTGAAAAACTAAAAACAAGAGACTAAAAAAGTAGAAATAAAATACAAATAAAATAAATGTAGCACTTGCATTAATAGCACCAGAACCACAGGTTACAGGTGTAGAGCGTGAGTGCCCAGGTAACAAGAACCGTAACCAAACTCCTCACATTGTAACATTACCAATATTTTTTCGTTTTGAGAAAAACCAAAAAACCAACAAAAGAGACTTAAAAATGAGAAATAAAAAACGAATAAAATAAAAGTAGCACTAGCATTAATAGCACCAGAACCACAGGTTACAGGTGTAGAGCGCGAGTGCCCACGTAACAAAAACCTTAATCCTCAAACTCATCACATTGTGACATTATCAATATCATTTTGGTTTTGACAATTTTTTTTTCAGTTTCAAGATTTAGCTTATCTTGAATTTCAATTTTTGGCTCCTTTGTTCCTCAAACTCATCACATTGTGACATTATCAATATCATTTTGGTTTTGACAATTTTTTTCAGTTTCAAGATTTAGCTTATCTTGAATTTCAATTTTTGGCTCCCTTGTGATTAAAAAGCACCTTCATCCCAGCTAACACCAAGCAATGTACATGTACCTATATTAGGTAAAGAGATTTTGTGTACATTGTTCTTAAAACAAACTCAGTGATAGTTTATTACACCTGGACTAACAATGCAACGTTTTTTCAATAATAAAAACAATATCAATAACAATAATAATTGCACCATCATGCTTTCTCAAATGTTTGAACTTGTAACTCTTGCATAACTCTTTTCTGACTGACTCTTCACCTTTATTGTATTATTGTAAAAATACATTTACCTGACTCAAAAAATTTGAGTTATCAATAGGGTGACAGTGATAAAATTCTAGAAGCAAAGTTAATAACTCTGGCCATCATGTACATTTCAACAGCTACAGGAGAATATAATGAACTGTGAATGTTGCTGCTATAGGCCTTTTGCAAAGTTGATCACGTGATCAACTTTCTGTGTGGTTCTCCACACAAATACTTGTAAACTTTGAAATTTTTAAACTGTTATAAAATATACCCTTAAGCTTTAGGGGGCTCAAACTTTCTTTTTTTAAAAAGACAATTAAGGCCGTTACATGTGCAAGCAAAAGATTTAACGACAGTTTAAAAATTTCAAAATTTACAAGGATTTATATGGAATACCACTCAACCATGACTAGGTGGCAAGAGTTGTTTTTCCCATACAAATCCTTTTAATTCTTGGTGGCCGTTACAATCACTACTTTTGGGATATATGGCTGAAAATTTTGTGTTTACACAAAATTGATCACGTAACTAACTTTTACAAAAGGCCTATTGCTATAATCATATCTAGAGACATGACAGATAATCAAAATCATATTTTGAGATAACAACTAAACAATGATTATAACTGTAAAACTGGAAAGTTTTTCAGTACATATACATTACATTTTTTACTCACATCATCACTGAGTAGTTCTGTGAAATACTTTGGAGTGTATTTTTCAACCCATAGAACATGCTGAGCAGCCTTTCCTTCATCTTTGTCAGTTGCCAACTCTTCTGCTAATGGTTCAAGTTCTTCAACATCTGCACCATCATTGAGCATTCTACATTGCCAAAAAATAAAATAGTTACACTGTTTCAAAAATACTTTAGCCTTAAACCCATTTTAATCACACCAAGTCAAGCATAAATTATCTCCCGGGGGGGGGTTACTTTAGGAATTTTTGGGTGGGGATGTGCCTCTAGGACCCTCGAACCCTTAGCCCGTACCACAGCTACAATCATTGCCAAAAGTGTTGGGAAGGTTGCCTTTTCTACCTCTTTTTTCTTTCCTACCCAGCCCCTGGCCCAATGTTGAGCAAAACATTGATGTTTGTGCACGTAATTGTTCTGTTACATCAAAAGAGAAAAAGAGAAAACTCTCTTTTTTGAGGATTAAAATGGACTACCATTAAGTTGTACAACCTTCCAACTTACTTTTGTCTGTGATTGTAGTTCAAGTGAATTTTGCTACTCTATACTAGACTAAACTCCCCAAATCCCCCTTATCCAAGAGTAGCTGTTTTCCAGAAACTACTGAGGTCACTAGCACAGTCCAGCAAAAACAAAATCTATTTGATTTTTTTGAGTGGCAATTCCCAATTTCTCTAGTCTAGACTAAAATTTTCAAGCAACTGATCAGTTTCCTGGAAAATGATACCCTTTTCTACACCCAAATTCTCTGATTTATATACCCTATCGCAGAGTATTATTGCTTGAAAACCATGCCCCTCACAGCGGCACATATCTATATAGCCCATTTATGGTAGTACCCCACCTGGCATAGCCCTAATAGATTCTTTAAATAGATTAACAAAAGGTCTTGCTGTTAAGAGTTTAAGAAACCTACAAAATGAGTATTGGCAGACCCTCAACCTACCTATGCAGGGATGCTGTTAATTTCTCTGATTCTTCTATGGCTCTTCTTCGTCTCTAAGAGAGTAAAACAATTAAGGAGGCAGTTCAAAAGATGCCCTGGTTCAGTCATTAACATACCCAAAAACAAAAAAAATGAAATCTATGTCTGTGCACTTAGTCACTTGTAAGATCATAAGCATGCCATTGTTCATAGCTCACATACAATATTTCCTTTTCATGCTAATATAATTGTGTAATTTATAGCTCTTTTAACTATTTATTTGGGGGGTACCTTGCATGGGTTCTTATGGTCTTGTTTGTGCTTGCCCCTTTGGGTATATAACCTTTTTTTCTTCTTTAAATCTCATTTTTTATTTTTTTTGTAAAAAGTTTTTACGTAATTATGTATAAGATAATGAAACCCGATAAAGCTGTTAAAAAAAATAGATTACAGTCCAGTTACATAAACATACCTCCTCTTCAACATGTTCACGCAGGACCGAAAATGGAACTGACAGCAGCTGAAGTGAGTTTCCTGGTCCTCTTCTGAATAGTTTCTTTTTGGATGCCTGGGAGAGTAGAAAGACATGCATTGTTATTCAGGATAACTAATGTGAGTTAAATACAGTAATTTAGGTGAGGACCAAGAGAACTGTTTGCAACAGACATATTGACAGTGCCAAAAAAATTGTACACCATAATGCTGTATCATAATGGCTAATCAGGAGAGGTTTGATTGTTATGGATGTCACTAGCATTAACTGAACAATAATAATAACAATAATAATCATGCATGCACATTGTGGTATTCACAAACAAATTTGCCACACTGAACTCTGAAATTTCCTTAAGAACTAGCTGAGAGTATTTGATAAAAAAAAATCAAAGCATCTTCCCTTAGTGATCATTTCCAATAACCTTTTCTCTTGCTGAGGAATTGATCATTAGAAGAAAATTGATGTCAGTCGCTCTCGTTTTGCTGTACATGCACATGTACAGATCTGATGAACAGTCAAATCTGAGCACCTCCCAGAGACTATAATAATAAGCAATTGTTGGATGAAGTTTTTGTGATATCCAGAATAATCAGGGTCAAGGTAAGTGTTACCAGCCGAGCTGAAGGCCGAGGGTGATAACACTTACCGAGACCTTGATTATTAAATTTAGGATATCACAAAAACCGAATTTAATAATTGTTTTATTATACATTGTTTTCGAAGAAAATAATGACAAACACACCATCACAAGGAACCTGAATTGATATTGTCATTGGAAATCATGCATTTTGTGCGCAACCTACAGATAACTGACTAATCTGTAGGTTGTGCTGATTTCAAAAAATACATGTAGGTGCAGGCTCTTAGCCAATGAGAAGACAGATTGTGAGTACAATGTATAATAATTACTGTTACTATTATAAAGTGAGAATGTAATGCTGATGAAAACAAATGCAATAGTAAAATGTCATCATGTAGTCCAACAGAATGCAATGGCTCTCCCTCAAGAGGGTACCCAGTTTGTAACAATTGGTAAGAATGATGTGATTCTATTAAAAACAGTCATGATTGCATTTATGTACCTTAGACTGTGTTGAAGATTTCTCTTCATCCCTGTCACACTTGATTGACAAGTAAAGTCTCTGTCCATCTGTTCTTGTAACAGAGACTGACTCACAACTCATAGGAGGTCTGCGAAATACCCTCCTTCTCTCTGGCTTAGCTGAACACAATTCACTTGACTTTCTATCAACGCTGGCATAATTCTGGTTCAGCAATGGGTTGGGTTGAAGCTGTCTCAGTGGACTGCGTACACTTCCAAAGTTAGGCAGTTGATGGTTTATGTCATTAGCATCTCCACTTTTTACTGGACTAAGGCGAGCTTTCTTTCTACAAGGAGCTGCAAGGTTTATACATGGATTGTATTACAAACTTTGACACAAATAATCAGTGTGCAAAAAATGTTGTGTCCAATAGCCTTGGCAAAATCGGCATGGGAATTTTTTTGCTGTTATTTTTTGGTAAAGAGACATTTTTGGGCCTTGTTGGAGGCCCTAAGGATTTTTTGGGGGTTTTGATTTTGCCCCCATTTGATCATCCCTGTCACTTGAAATCAGGACTACACCCTGGGGCTTCACACTGTGATGACACCAGTTTATGGTTTCAATGTACTTATTTATCATGTTTCAACTGTTTGTAAGAAAAATTGTTGACATTCAAGGCTAAAGTGCACTGTAAAGTTATCTGTTCTGAATAGTTTAAAAGCATGATTGGAAGTTCTTCAAATAATATCAACAGAAATTTTATTTAATACAAAAAAAGGTGATTCCCATCGATAGCTGCCTATTTTGCTATGTAATTTTGGCTTGCAAACCAATGAAGAAATGCATGCATAAAATCAACAACATGCCTTTACAACCCTCTACAAGTTTTTCCCATCCAGATGAGCCAATCTGCTTGTGTTTCCAGTAAAATCCTCTATTTATTTATATTTTCGGATAGGAAACCATGCACATATCAAAAGCTCCGGGGTGGCCCCAGGGATGGTAAATGCCCAACCCGTGGGCAGCACAAAATTTGCTAATGCCCCACCTCTGGGACTGACAAGGTAGAAAAATGCATCACAGTGGCCTGGAAGGGGGGCAGGGGGAGGGTGCAGATGGAATTTACTGATGCATAACTTTTCAGGACGGTTGGTGATGTAGATGCACCTTAATTTCGAGTGTTTCATTACCTGGAGTGGAATCAAGTTTGTCCTTTCCATTAGTATCATCATCGTCATCAGAGAGAGGTAAGAACAATTCATCACAATCTCTTTTCTTTGACTTAGTTCGTGCTGCCGTGTTGTTGTTTTGATGAAATCCATTCACAGTCAGTCCATTTTCACCAGCTTTCTTATCATCATGAAAATTCAGGCTCCTCTTTGATGGAGCAAAATCTGTGTAAAAATTAATGGCATGGGATTTGTTAACTCCTTCAAGGCTCGAAAAAAGTCCCATCCAGTAGTCTGAAACAAGTTGATTTTCTTGCTGAGCAGGTAACTTTTAAAAATTACTTGCACAATGGGCCAGGGTCCAGGCAGGCCATCCTCTAATAAAATCATTAACTAGAAAGTGCAAGAAGTGGCCCTGAGCAAGAAAAACATGACAGCTGCTTGTCCAAAAGACAAGCTGAAATTTAAATTTTTTTGCAAGCCCTTCTTGTACCCAAAAATATCATTATTTAGGAAGACAGCAAATCCAGTTTGTTATGACCTATGATGCAACCTCTGGGTCACATCACTTGAACTGTGGTGTTCCACAGGGATCTATCCTGGGCCTGCCACTGTACTATTTTGATGTATATGTTGCAGGTAATTTTTTATTTCAGTTAATTTTTGTTTTTTCTTTAATCATTCATTACCAAAACAAAGCCAAAAAAAAATTAACCGAAATAAAAATTAACTGCAACATCTATTACTCCACTTACAGACATTCTTCAATTTTATACTTGGTTTAAATTTAATTTGCCTTTCTTTGAAATTCATTATCATGCGTTGCCATAACTAAAAACAAAGGAAAAAAATCTAAATCAAGACAAAGTTGAACCACAACATATGGGCATTGAAGTGAAGGTCTGGTTTGGTGTTGTATTGTTTTAAAGCTATCGTTTTCTTGGGCTCTCTTGTTTTGACTTTCTTTGTCTCCCGTCACTCGTGAGTTTTATTGGTTCCCTCAATGAAGAAGAGACGCGTGAGGTGAGAGTGGAATCGAGAGGAATCACACGTCCTTGGCCACTTGCATTGGCTATGTTGTCTTCGACACCGAACAACCAAAGGCGCATAAACTTTATTAAACTTTACATTCATTTTAACATTCTTGCTTTGAATAGTATGCTACATGTAAGGACGCTCTTATCAAAATATTGCAAACACCGCAGATCGTGGCTGCTCTCCTTTTACGTACGTTGACGAGAAAAAAACCTACTGAAAACTTACCTTCTTCGTCCAAATCATCCAACATCTCTAATTCATCCGCATAGCGAGATTCAAAGTCATCTTGTTCCGGTATTTCCCAGTCCTCCATTTTGGAGGATTTGGCCACAAATTGAACTTTATTCAAGTAGATGCTCGCATGCTTCCCTCCGCCATATTGCTGTAAAAACTCCCGCCAAAGTCACTAGTCACGTGGTCATTTATCCAGGCTTTCACGGTTATAACCTGATTACGGGACGGGACGCGGGATTGGCGCGGGTATTTTTTTTTTGACAGTTTATCCAGTTTGTTCAGGGCCATGACTTGTTTACCTGTTTGTTTACCGCCAATACATTTTGTAGCTTCCAAAGACCACGCAAAGGCTCTGTAACATCGTGCGTAGAGCTGCAGCTTTTTAATATACGGCAAGAAAGGATAGCCTGCGTGCAGGCGCAAAAAGGGGAGGGGGGAGGGGGGAGGGAGAAAGGGAAAAGGGAAGGGAGCCCTCTCCCTCTCCCCAATCCCCCTCCCCTTTTTCCCTTCCTCCCTATCCCCTATCCCCTATCCCCTATCCCCTACCCCTTTCGGCGCCTGCTACGCAGGCTAAGAAAGGATAAAAGGACTTCTCTTGTATACTGGCATCTCCAGAATATCCAGCTACATTATTGAAGTAAAACTGGTTTCCATATGAGAACCGCTAAAATTAGGCCTGATCTCAGGTTAGGGGTGTGGTTCAGGGACTTTTTTTACCCCGGTTAGCATAGCATTATGGGAAAGGGAAAAATCCCCAAAGGAAAGGTATTTTCCCTTTCCCATAATGCTATGTTAGCTTGTGCCATATTGTTGCGAGATGATACACTCTAATACAACCCTTATTTCGAATAGTGGAAGCTGAAAGCATTTCTTGCTATTTGTTGTGGGAGCTATGAAGAGCTATTCCTTTTGACTACAGAAACCATTATGAAAGTCATGTGCAATGCCTAAGTGAAAACCTCAATAGGAAAACGAAATCGAGGAAAGAACTAATTGAATTGTAAGCGGAAGTGCAGATCGAACTATCTCACAAACAACGTTCTATATCAGCAGCAATGGAAGATAATTTACTGTGGAATTTTCATGTTTTCCTGCTTGAAATAGCGAAGGAATTGGCAGAAGGGGACCTTCAGCAAATGAAATTTGTCTTGAAGGGATATGTAACATCCGCTAAATGCGACGAAATGAACGCTTTACAATATGTCGATGAACTGCAAAAATTGCTGCTTCTCACTCCAACAAAACTTGAAATTTTTAAAGAAACACTGAAGGTCATTGGACGTCCAGATCTTGTTGAGAAGATTGAAAAGAAAGAAGCGGCTTTTGCCACTCTTCCTGGCAAGAACTTGGAACAGAAAGGTTGGTAATATGGCACCAATGAGATCCTCCAGCACTGTCTTCCTTACCCTCCCCCCCCGCCCCATGACTTTCGATCAGTCGTCATTTATATATATAAATCAAACGGTCTTTATTTTTGTTTATTGATATGACCTATTGTTATTCTATTGATCAATATTATCAATTAGTCAATGAAAATTTAGCCTGAATTTCATCCGATTACTTCAAATCCTTATTACTCCCTCAGTAACGTTTGAATTGACTGGCCATTAATGCTGTCTAGTGACGTCACTACTCCTTTCCTTTAATTCATGGAAAAAATAAAACAGATTTTTAAGTGGCAAACTAAGAAATATCGTTTGGAAATGTCTGCACGATCCAGAACAGCCGACAGAATTTCTTTACTCGTTTTGATCGTAATTCATGTTTAACGTTCAAACTATCAATTGCATGCAGTACTCTGAACCTGTTGTAATTCAAACTCGGTCACAATCACGCAATGAAATCAGAAATATGTACACAGAACAATTTCCTTTAATTTAAAAGAAGCTATTTGGTCCTTAATGAAGAAAAAAGAAAACAAGGAAACAAGAAAGAAAAGCTGACAGAATCATTACACTTGACGGTGAAAATAGCAAGAAGGTCGCATGACAACATGACATTGGTCTCAGAAACTTCGCATAAACAAAATCATTGCGAAAAGCACGAAGTGGCTCTAAATGAAAAACCTACCAACTCTTTGCAATGATTCTTCATTCGCAGTTCAACTTAGCAATTCGGTTTCGAAAACAAGGGCATTTTGCTGTTTACGATAAAGATTATCGAAATGTTTGAACTCCACGCAAGCATGCCACTGATGCGATCCGCTGAATATCAAGCGACAATCCCGCTAAAATTTCTCATAATTATACATAATTATGCAAATGTTTAGTGCAATCAATCAATCAAAATCACTACCTGGTTTTCAGGTAGTTATGTCACTGGACAGCATTAATGTCTGGTTGATTCAGACGTTGCTGAGAGGAGAAAATGATTCAAAGCAATCGGGTGAAATTCAGGTTTGTCAAAATCAAAATCAAAATAGTGAGGTTTTATGAATTCTTATTTACAGTAGGTTGAAGATAAATAAAAATATAAATCTTTGTACAAGTATTCCGCCCTGAAGCATGTTTCATTTAAAAAGTACAGCAACTTGAACTTCCGAGTTTTCACAGTGCATGACACCAAAATAGGAAGTTAATGCTATCTTGTTGAAAAATGTCTTTCCTCTTGAAGTTCAGCAGCTTAACCATCTCGGGTATTAAAAGATGTGTTTATGTGCATGTATGCTACAATGAGGGACAAAAGTGTTGAGACACTTCCGTAAAATGGCCCCTTTTTGCATAATGGACATAGATATTCCCCTCCCCTGTCTACCCCAACCCCTTCCCCCCAAAATCAATGTTGTACTTTGGATCCTTAAGTCTTTCTTTTACTTCAAACAACATTGATTCAGGGGGTGAGGGGATTTAAATGTTTGATAAAAGCACCGGTTTAAACAAGTGTGTCAACTACTTTTTTCCCCGATAATCTGTAGCTCTCGATTGAAAAGAAAGAGCTTTTATAGACAAAAGTGAACTCCCGATGCACGTTTTTGTTGATTTCCGACGGCCATATTGGTGGACCAAAACTGTCCACCAATATGGCATCTCCATACAAAGCTCTACAAAGGTGTGTGAAACGTTTCGGCAAATAACTCAGAAACTGTAGGCTACAAAGACCTGAGACTTGGACAAATTGTTTATATATTAATCTTTTACAACATTTCATTTTCTTGGCCTCTTCCACTGGACTGTTTCTAATTTTTTTTTTTTTTTTGCCATGTTTATTGCTTGACATGAAAATGAAGAATTTAACAGGTTGTGTTTTTGTTGTTGTTGTTTTTAAGATGTTCACACATGAACCCTCAACCAGATGTATCCATGTCTGTGGAACCATGACCCAGTCCTATCAATTGTGACATTGTCAGTTTTTTGGTTAACTTGAACAGGGAGAGTGGTCTTTCCAATCATACTCAAATGTGTGTGACTCATGCAGACAAACTGACCAGAGGAAAACACAGAAAATCGTTTGATGTTGACCTGTAAATTTTAAGGAAAATCTTGCTCCACTACTTGCCTCTACTTTCGTTAAAATTTTATCAAGGTCCTTAGGGTTGTCCCAACAAATAAGTAATTCATTTTTGTTATTGGGATAGTGTGGTTTTTGTAACCCTCCCCCAATCCTAGAAAGAATTTTGCTGGGGTCTCTAACAATTTATTCATTTGCAGGGGGCAAGAGAGAGGGTGTTAATTATTGGAACATGCACTCAAATGATCCATTGTTTGTGACTTTTAGAGTATGATGCAGTTTGTGATGGCATTGAAAAAGCAGCAGCCGCAGGAAAGTTCAAGAGTTCATCACGAGCTGACCTAAGTGCTTCTAAAAGTAAGGGCTGACTAGTGGTTAATTCTAACCGTTAAAAAAATGGAAGAGGATTTATGACTGGGTATGCCACAGGCAGTCAATTCAAAACAGATTTCGGCTGTTCAAGCATACATAAACCCTTTTTGCAAGAAACCTCCCATTTTTTTTCTCTTTTATATTATATCTATTTTGTAAGATCAATTTGTTATCCAATTCAAAAATCATATAATAGTATTAGTTCTTTAACTCTACCTTGCGCTTCTCATTTCATTCTAGCTAAACAAAATAATTCAAGTAATGTAAAATGTAGAAAATCAGTAAACAATGAATTAAAGATAATAAATAAATATGTTTGATCCATAGATCAACCAAAAAAGATGTCCCAGTTATACTTTGAAGTGGGGTCCAAGATAGCACCAGACCACAAACTTGCAGGGTTGGCAACAGGTGGTGAAACTGGTGAAGTTGACATGGCAAATGGAGGAGACTTACCTGATGCTTTGAGTCCAGGTGCAGGGCTGAGCAGTCTCAAGGATCTAGAAATCAACAAACCTGCTTCCAGTGAGTCCTGTGAAAGTACAGTTATGGATGGCACTTGTTCAGAAAAGTCTCCGCTTAGACCCAATATGACAGGCTTTGGCACAGGAATGGCAAGTTCGACAACCTCACACAGCAGGGAACCAGGCGATGATGATGATGATGTTACTGACGGCAATCCAAACAAGGAAGGAGAATCCAAAGAGGCGACAGCAGGTCATGAGGGATTAAACACCAGCACTGCTGCATCTGGTTAGTAAAATATGTATGTACTTGATCCTTGAAGCCTCAATAAATCCACATACATCATTCCTCCAGACAGATCGCCAAACATTTCCTTAAAGAATTTGTTGAGAGAATTATATGAAAGATCAAAGCATTTTTGTTTGTTAAGGCCCTGTTTGCACAATGACAAAAAATAGAATTTGGCATTTGCACAAAATTTAATTATCACCAATTTTTCATTTTTGCGACCTTGATGGCATCTGAGACACGTGAATAACTAGAAATGTCAATTAAAGGAACTTTAACTGGTCATGTTTGCAAAATAATATGACCTGATGAAGGATAGCCTGCAAGGAACAAGGAGTTTGTCAGTTTAGAAACCTGAAAAGAGGAACAACAAGCTTACATATTAGGGCCATTTATACGAGGAAAAATAAGACGTGTCTTACATAAGACACGTCTTAAACAAGACGCGAACTTTCTGTATAAACGGCACATTTCGTCTAAAATAAGAGGCTGCTTAGCTAAGACGCGTCTTATTAGATAAGACATGCTCGTATAAATGGTACAGTTTGCGTCTTATTTAAGACGCGTCTTATGTAAGACGCGTCTTATTCTTCCTTGTATAAATGGCCCTATTAATACCTTCCTGATTTTGTCATTGTAAACCTGTAATATATACAATTATGTATTTTTTTTCACCCTTAAGGGTAATTGTTGTCTAATACACGTGCATGCATGTATGGAAAGATTTGCTCAAATATGGATCCTAGCATGGGGAATGTATTAAAAGCAAACATTAATTTTTTGGTATCTGCAGGTTATGGTACATCTTCTACTCTGCCATCAAGTGGCAAGGAGCCAACAGAAGATATTTGTACAAGCATTTCCCCCCCTCAAGGAACGATTGTTAAAGACGATGAAGGCCTTGCTGGGGAAACTCCCATGAAAGACCCAGGCAAAAGTGAACCCTCTAAGGCATCAAGTGCTAAGGAGCCATCAGAAGATATTTGTACAAGTAGTGACCCTCCCAAAGGAACGATCTCTCCAGATGATGATAGCCCTGCTGGAGATACTCCCATGGAAGACCCAGAGGAAAGTGAAACTTTGCTGAAGTCAAAGGGTGCAAGACCAAAAGAAAAAAAGAGTGGCCCTGTTTTCCCTTTAGGAAATACAAAGCAAAATGGTAAGGAGCAGGTTGAACAAGGTTGACATTTTTTCTCATTGCTTTG